AGTTAATTTTGCCAGCCGTTGAAGAGGTTTTAAAAACTGTTTTACACAAACCTGCATCTGATATAATTAAAAGAATTCCCTTAAGCAACAATACTGTTGAAAGACGTATTGATGAAATGAGTTCTGATATTGAAAGCTTCTTATGTAATTATTTGCAAACGACCCATTTCTCTATACAACTGGACGAGTCAACTTCACCTGATAATGCAGCATTATTATTGGCATATGCTCGTTTTATTATGAGTCAAGAAATCTACGAAGAACTGCTCTTCGCAAGAACTTTGATAACCGACACTAAAGGTGAATCAATATTTCATGTTTTGAAGGATTACTTCATTGAAAAAGCAATTCCTTTATCAAATATAATATCAGTTGCTACAGATGGGGCACCTGCCATGGTTGGACGTTATCGTGGATTTATAAGCTATTTAAAACAAAATGTGTCAGGGATGTTAGCAATACATTGCGTCATCCATCGACAACATTTAGTTGCTAAAAATTTGAGTGTTAGATTGCATGAATCACTTCATTTAGTCATTGATGCAGTAAACCGAATCCGAAGCAACGCGTTGAATACGTGGTTCTTTGCGCAGTTGTGTGAAGAAAATGACGAACACTTTCATCAATTACTCCTTCACACTGAAGTACGCTGGCTGTCGAAAGGCTTATCTTTGACAAGATTTTTTGCACTTTTTGAGACTATTTTAGAATTTCTGGATACTAATAAAGATAGATAAAATTTTAAAAGAAAATTTAATGAAGAGGAAAACAGACATCGCCTATTTAACAGATTTGTTTACAAAATTTAATATGGTTAATTTGCAATTACAAGGCGACAGTTTAAATTTGATTAAAACAAAGTCCATCTTATCAGCGTTTCTTGCCAGAGTTAAACTAATGAAGCAAAATATTGGACGGGGCGAATTTTCTCAGTTCCCCAATTTGTCACAGACAAGCTGCCAGGAAGACGACGTTTCAACTTACGTTCAACATCTAAATGCCCTCTATTCAGATTTTGAATCTAGGTTTGAGGATATTTTGACTATGGTAATACCACCGTGGATAATTAATCCATATGGTGACATAGAAGAAACGAATGTCATAATACAAGAGGAACTGACTGAACTAAGTACAAACGAAGAACTTAAGGTTCAGTTCAAAAACTGATATCAGCAATTCTGGCTGCAAAACAACATACCCGTTACTTATCCCGTATTATGGAATATAGCGAGGAAATTTTTAATTTCCTTTCCATCGTCATACCTAGTGGAAAGGGGGTTCAGCGCTGTTACCAATCTCCTAACGGAAAAAAGAAACAGACTGGACATCATTAGCTGAGGAGATTTAAGATTAACCCTTGCAAAATTGACGCCAAATGTTGATAATTTATTATTAAAGCATCAGGTTCATTATTCTCACTAAAAATATTGACTTATTGCTTATGTTATTTTATTTATAGTTTATTTTATGTTTATTGGTGTCTGACCAATAAATGCCCGCATTGGGAATAAGTGCCCGCATTGATTTTTTTAAAGAACCCCCCTTTATAGAAAATATTTTTTTTTATTATTCTGAAAATTCAAGCATAGGTACACACTAAAATTCGTTAATTTGTTGCCTATTTTTAGATAACTTAAACGTATAAGAAGCGGAATTTAATCAAACTAACAGTGAAATTATTGTAGAACACACGTTTATGTTATAATTAATAAACGAACTCGCTTATTGTACTATTTTAAGTAAAAAAACTTTTTTTTTGTTATTTTTCACTTTTTTTTATTCTATCCCTCTTATTTTGTTTTCAATGTGGGCACTTATTACCAATGCGGGCACTTATTGGTCAGACACCTGTTTATTTAATGTTACGTATATTTTACATAACAGATACAAAATTTTATTTTGAGTGGTTTTAATTTAAATTCAATTAATAAATGTATAAATTAACATGTGTTTTTACTTCAAGTTTTTAACACTAAACTTCACTACAGTTAGAAATTTACAGGAAATCAATATCAGGTAAGTAGGGGGTCTACCCAACACGGAAAAACATGGCAAGGGGTCTACGACATAAAAAAGTTTGGGGAACTCTGGTCTAATTCATGTGTTACTTTTACTGTAAAATTAGTCTCTTTGACGTTTTTGACTAGATCTTGCAAAAAAGGTTCAAGATATATGGTATATACGTTTCCGGTAATCTCTACAATTCCGGTGATCTATACAAAACCTAGGCAATGAATAGAATACCTGGGTTGCCCAGGCAATGTATGAAATATTATGAATATTATTATCCATTACATAGTTCACCTAGGTAATGAATACAATTCCTAGGGATTGTATAGGGTACCTGCTATTCCACCGGCAACGTGTAAAATAAATAGATCTTGGTCTAAATTTATCAATTTTAACCGCCATACCTACGTAATGAACGGGCAAATGAAACAAGTTACATTATTTAAAGTCAACTTTATTAAAATTAACAATTAGAGTGCTCTATGAAAAGCGTACAAGAAAAACACCTTTCTGTTACTACATTAAAATCACAGTAAAATTAATGTGAAACTAAAAATTAATCTGGCTATGAGTAACATAATGTAATTGTCTTTGCTTGCAAGTATGCAACTCTTTTATTGCCTGCCTGCCGGTACTTAGGTACAATCCGTTCCTCACTCCTTTTACATACACATGTTACATTACCGGCAGCGCATTCGGTATTGTATAGAATATATACCTTACCAAGGTATAAAACAAATAATATTTCATGCATTGCCTACATGTTTTAGGTTTTACCTAGGGAATGTATAGAATACCGGCTTATACAGATTGCTGGTAACATATACACAAACAATAGTATTCATAGGAGAATATAGAAAAGATTGTAGAAAAATTGAAGTGTATTGACATAATTATTCATTTGATAGATACTCAGCCTAAGAGACAATCGATTCCCTATTTTAACTATTACCTACTTTGATCCATTAGAGATTTGTTAAATTCTTCGATGTAAAGGAGCATTCCTCACCTGGAAGATAGTCGTCGTATTGCTTTCATAGGGCAGTCCATATTACTACTCTTCAGCAGAAGTTTACTGATAAAAAGTTTGTTTGAGTAATTACCCTATCACCATTAACTATCAGAAACACCTCTTGAAGTTTACTAAGGTGACCGATGCATGAATACCCCGACTTGGGAAACTGTCACCTTTTAATTTGTGGTAAATAAAGCATGCCATTAAATTGTCTAGCCAAATTAAAATCTTGAAGACCTTTCTTTCACAATATCTTTTCCCCTATCGCCGAGTCGAAAATCATTCCAGCGTTTCTAACCTCGACCAAAACTTCTAGATATCACCGCAAGCGCTCACGCACAGTTGCGGAACTGGTTACATAAGCGTCGACTCTGCAAAGCCTTTTCATCGCCACTCAAGGTCTCAGATATACGAGGGCATTACATCATGGTGGTATTCGGAAAGTAACTACTGTACCAGATACATAGAACTGAACTGATTTACTCAAGTGGGATATAGCTACACTAGCACACTAATAAATACAAATTTACATTTTCATAGCATCCTTTCGGAGCTGTACTTCCATTAAACTCTAAATAAAGGTTTTGAAAAATGCTGTGCGTGTTGCACGACATTGTACCTGGATTTATTTACTGACGGGGGTATAGCTTTGAAGTCAATTTAACTTGGGTGTAAAGTGTAATACCAGTAGTAAGTTTACAATCAAACTGCAAACATTTTAAAGTAAAATCATATTTTTCAATGACAACAAAGTATCTAGGTATAGATATAGGAAATATAGGTTAGACCTAATATTGGGTCAAGGGTATGAATGGAGGAAATCAGAAAATTCCATATATGTACTTTATACTACATTGAATGTACATTATTTATTTTTCTCGTCTGATAGAGCGGTTTAAACGACTTATTAAGTTAATTTTCTAATTATGTATACCTACCAAATCAAGGAATGCTTTATGTAGCGAATGATGGAAGATATAAACAAGAATAACGGGAATGAGGTAAGCTATTTTACATTAATAATTTGAATTAGGTTATTCCATTTGAAGTTATGGCGGAATTGTACCTTAGCTGCACTAGCTATATTTTTTCTCCGTCACTGCAGACATTGAAAACTTACATATACATATTTTCTGCTTTTATACCTTCTATGGCAAGGAAAAAAATTTCTTCTAATATACATATCTTGAAAATGTTGTACGGACACGAGATCGTCAGCCGAAAGTGATGCTACGAAGATACATTTATGTAATTCATAGTAAGCAAGAATATTTAGCAGGTATTTTCAATGACCCAAATCAAAAGGTAGAGTGCCGTATCTACATATATCTATAGTTAAGCTGACGGACGAGTTTCAAAAATGAGTAAGTTGGAAATGGGAATGACGTTAATAATAGCGTGGAGCAAAATCACAGAACATTGAAAACTACCCTTATGGATTATTACACGACTAAGTTCAATAAATGCGATCCAGATTTTCAGATATGGAGGCAAAAGCCAAAGACAGTATTTCTGCTCCTTTTATGATTGTATTGGCTTAGTAGGTATAATATACAAAAACTGAACTCTTACGAATTTCTTACATATTTTTTTATGATTTGGACGCAAATTTTCAATTTCAGGTGACTCTAAGAAAATGATAAATACTGAAAAATCTTGAAAACCAATGGTTTCGACCATTCATAGGGTTATTAATTAATTTATTGCATTTTCGGTGGTGTTACGGCTAATTACCAGTAACGCTGTTTTTAAAAGAACTTTAGTTTCACCTTGAAATATGGCATAGTATGTCAACAATCTTTGAGGAATGAACTTTCAGGGAATTAGGTCGCTATATCCAGATATTTTGGAATCTTCCCAAAGAGACATACTATAGGCAGCCAGTCTCTCGCCGAGAGGTATGGAATATATCGACTATCGATTACCTGAAAACTTGTTCCGTCATATAACCAACATCTCTATTTTAACCTAACAAAAAAGAACGTCATTGTCAAAGTGTCATAGTCATTCTTCTTTTGAAAGAATAACTTGTTGTAAACGACAGTTTTGAAGATAAAAAATGAATATAATTGTTAATTAATATGTTTTGGAAAGTGATTACTTGCCTACTATTGTGGAGTATGCTGCTATAGTTATAACACCTAATTCTTTATGTTATCAAGTATTTTTTTCTAGGAGTGTTAGCATTTTGTGAAGAAATTATCTGTGAAAAGTATGAGAATTCAACCTTAGAGAATCATGAAATATCAACTCAACTTGATGGTGGCGTTGAGAATGTTGTAACTAATATAACAAATATAAATACAAACCACACACAAGATCAAGAAGGAACTACCGCAAACGCTGAAGATACAAACAAGACCCAAAAATGTGTCCCATGTTTACCAGGGGTGTTCGACAGGGTTGTTCAAATCACAAATGACACAGAGCTCATCAAGATATTACAGCCTGATACTAAAATCACGGATAGAGAAACTCCTGCTCTGTGTGTTCTAGTTTTATTTTACTCTAAATATTGTCCTTTCTCAAGCATGGCTGCCCCACACTTCAATGCCTTGCCTAGGGCTTTTCCAGACATCAAAATGGTAGCGATCAATGCTATGATCTATCACCTTTTTAACACACAGAATGGCATTGTTGGTGTCCCATCTTTGATGTTATTCCACAATGGAAAATCAGTTGCTAAATTCAACCGGTCTGAGTATACATTAGAGATATTCTCGGAATTTGTCACTAAGCATACCTGCATACCAGCTGTTGAAAAGTCTATAGTAACCTCAGCTGATTTTGCTGGGCCAGTTGTAAGCCAACCTTCCAAAGACTCTGATTTCTTTTTGATCCTATCATGGGTATTCATTATGTTATGTAGTACCTTCTATTTTACTAAGTCTAAATGGTGGAAATGGATTGTTGAAACTGTGCAAAGGAATTGGAGAGAGTCTGAGGCGCAACTTCAACATGAACATACAGATTAGTGACCAGTATGTCCCAAAGTTTTGTAAATTAGAATTTGGTTACAAGTACTCCACTACCTTGGAAGGCTAATTAGAGGTTTAAATGTGCAACAATTTCCTGACAGACCTAGATGTTTTTGCAGTAGATTAAGTCAGTTCAAGCCTTGCAGCATTATATCACTAACTAATTTAGGCGACTACATGGGACAGTACTGATAGAAGCGTCTTGATAGTTTGAACATTATGACAAGTTCTTTCCACAATTATTTTATCTGTAATCATGCACTTATTATTAAACATAATTTATAATAAAATATGACAAAGTTTGTTATTCAACCCAATGTTTTTTTTAGGATTCCCTATTCTGAATTTAAACTATCTAGTTTTTTTAATAAATTGAGTTCTAAGGTTCATGACATTAATATCATTTCTGTTCTGTTGTATGGATATTGTGAATATAGGTGTGAAGTAACATGTACTGCTTATAAGACACTTTAAGCATATATTATTTATTTTAACAGAAGAGTTGCAATGGAAACCAATGTGATCCTTAAAAGTTATGTAATATAAACCTATTTATTATGTTATGTTTTCAATTCAGTTAGTAAAGGATCTCCTTTAAATGCAGCAACAATATTTTTTGCACATATCAATCCCATTTCCTTCCTAGTTTCAACTGCTGCACTTCCAATGTGTGGCAAAATAACACAGTTTTTCAGCTTAAATAAGGGGTTATCTAATGGTAGAGGTTCAGGGGTCATAACATCTAATCCAGCACCCCATATTTTTTTCTGTTGAAGTGCCTTTATCAAAGCTTGTTGATCTACTACACCTCCTCGACTGGTGTTTACAAATACAGCATTTGTTTTCATTTTTGAAAATGCAGCTTCATTGAACATTTCTTTTGTTTCAGGGGTCAGAGATAAACTGACACTGATAAAATCACTTTGTGTCAACAAATCGTCAAAATTGACTCGTTCAGCACCAATTTCCTCAGCTTCTTTCTTTCTCTCTGATCTGTTGTAGTAAATTATGCGTTCAGGATTGAAAGGCTTCAGTCTTTTGGCGATTTCTTGACCAATTCGGCCAAATCCAGCAATGCCTACAGTGGAACCTTTTAGTCCAGGTCCACACATCCAAAATGGAGACCAAGCCTGCCAACCACCTGTTCTAGCTTCTTCATTTGCTTCCAAGAGTCGTCTACTGGTAGCTAAAAGCAAGGCCACCGCTAGCTCAGCAGTAGCATCAGTCAGAACGCCTGGGGTATATGCTATTTTTATGTTTCGTTTTTTAATTTCAGGCACATCCAAGTGATCATATCCAACAGACATGGTAGCGATGATTTTCAAATTATTCCCTGCCCTATCCAAAATTGCTGAGTCGATTCTGTCAGTTAACATACAGAAAAGGGCATGTTTATTTTCAATGTTTTTTAATAGTTCCGATCTAGGTACTGGGCCCGGTCCTGTCCAAAATGTCACATCACACCTGGAATAAAAGTGAGGTTAGGGATTACGTTCATAAAACTTTTGGTTTTTAAATTTTCAAGTCAACTTTGTAGATGAAACTTACTGAGTGTTAAGCAGATCCAAAGCTTCTTTGTTAACTTCCCTTGTTATATATACGGAAGGTTTCGACATGTTTGAATAATATCTTGCGAACACTGGAACGAACCGCGATCGAAAGGTAAATTGTACAACTTTCTCTTTAATATTCTTCATGTATACGTGATTGGTGGATTTGAATATGCCTGCATGTATTAGACGCATTAATGCCAAACTAATATTATATCTTTCGTTTAACGATAGAAAAGCTTATTACAGGAAAAAGACTAGGCTGATAAGTTTGACAATTGCAGGAAATTCAAATTCCCTATTCCACGAGTATCCACACAAAACAAGACTGACGTATCCATCATTATAGGGTGGCAGCGAATTGTCTAGAAATATCTCAAAATTCCCCATATCGACACAGGACACATAATTCTGACTGATCCGTCAACGTCAGGTAGTCAGAGCCGTATTTTGTTTTAATTTTTTGTAAACAGATTCATTTTGTACTTGCTAACAGCTCTTTTATTTAGAAAAGTTCATTTGCATGCAAAAAACGAAACGCTACAAACAAGTCTTACTAGATCTATACCCGATTCATTATTGCCAACGTTCCAGACTAACACAAAAAAATGTCACTTGCTGATCAGCTGCTCACCTCATCAGTAGACGTCAAATCGTAATGGATACTCGTGAAATAGGGTATACTCCTTTGTGACACATCGTTTGCTCAGGTCTGCAGATATGAGTCATAATAGAAACCAGGGTGTCCACTCGATGGTGTCCACTTACTTTTTTTACTCATTATTTTCTCGGCTACTAATTTTTTCATGAAACATAGGTGTGAAGGTAGCTCCAAAAGCTGGCTCCACAATCCTACGCGCCGCTAGATTACAGCGGACGGAATAAATGCTGTCCGCCTGCGATGCGCCGTGGCCGTAGCGTTACTCATAGAAGTTAGAAGCCTACGAGGTGAGCGCGGTAATTATACAGGGTGACTTTGAAGTTTAGTCATTAATTTTCAGATAATGATTGTAGAAGGAAGATAAACCAAAATATGTGTGTAAAAATAAAAAAAAATTTTACCTTGTTTTATAAAGTGTCCTCCCGACAAGTATTTCAGTGCGGACCTGTATTTGATCGTGAGGTCTTGGAGTACCGGCATGCCGTCCCCTGTGAGGTCTTAAGTCACCTGATTCACGAGCCCGTTGTACTACATTAACAAAAGCACGAGGGGTTGGTTGCACTCGATTGGGAAACCGATCCGCATAAACATGTGCCATTTTTTATTTCGTTTGAGCCACGCAACAGACACCACTATTCACTCACGCGTTACCGACTGACACTGACTGTATGCAACTGAATAAAATAATTGTAAAAACAGCGTTCCAAATTCTTTCGCTTTTTTGTTTCCGATGCGATGAACCGATAAGGCGGATTATATCCGTTGTTGCCAAACACGAGCACATAATATTATTATTGAGACAGGGCGGTACTCAAACTTCCAAAGGGCTATAACGCTATAACTTTGTTACTTTAATTTTACCAGAAAAATGGTAAAGGAAAAAACATTTCTTTTGATCAGATCTACTCACTGTTAAAATAAATGACTCAACTTCGAAGTGATATATTCTATCTGTGCCTATTAGTCTAATCATATTACCCAATTTCTCCGGAATAATTGTAAAGTCTGGTTTTATAGGTGCAAGTTGTTCAATGGGGTATTCAAAACATTGACGCTTGAAATAGGTACACCAATTTTTGTGGGAAAACTAATTTTTGACAACAAAGGATCAGAAAACGTTTTTTGGGATTCAATCGAAAGTGTTGGCAGGAACGAAAAAACTTCATATAAGATTTTTAGGTATTTATGAGACCTATAAAATAAGACCATACGTAAAAAGATCCGACTAATATGATGAGACGATAATTTCAGGCAACTACTTGAAGTTCTTCAAATCCATAGGATTTGTACTTCTGGATAACAACAACAAAATTGGAGTATATTGGTCAAGTAGTTCCTTGAGAATTCCTAATTGTTTATCCCAAAACACCTGTCTTCCGGCCATCACTACTCGTTTATTGAGCAATATACAGGGTCGTTCAAAGAGCATTCAATAGCAAAATACATAAGCTTACCTTGCCGATATGAATCACAAACCATTCCGAAAAATAAATGTTATTTTTATGCGAAAAACGGAGGTGACGTTTTTTTCTTCTAAACAAATTCAAACATTTCGTATTTGTGAGAATTAAACAAATGCGCTACTATATTCGAAAAACATACATTACTATACAGAGATTTTTAAACAAAGCGAAGTGTGTCGCGTATTTTAAACCCTGAAAAGAACATCGATGCACTGCTGCAGCTTTTCTGGAAAAACATTTTCCTAAATTTCTGAGAGTAGGGCGCACGGTACGCGACAGACTTCTTTCTTTGGAGCTGTGGTGTACGACCGCTTGTAACTACTTTTTGATAGTTGATTATAATAGCTCTTGTTGTATACTTTAAACCCTGAATAGTAGATCAACGCACTTCTGCAACTTTTCTGGAAAAAACGTTTTCCTAAATTTCCGTGAGTATCGCGCACCGTACGCGACAGAGACTTCTTCCTTTGGAGTTGGGGTGTAAGACCGTTTGTAACTACTTTTTGGTAACTAATTATAATAGCTCTTGTTGTGTGCTTTAAGCCCTTCTATGAGTAACGCTACGGCCACGGTGATCGCAGGCGGACAGCATTTATTTGGTCCGCTGTAATCTAGCTGCGCGTATGATTGTGGAGCCAGCTTTTGGAGCTACCTTCACACGCATTGAAAACTCAACATCGATAATTGAATAGTCACTATAAAAAATATCTATAAGAAAATAAATATTCGTCTAATGTCTAATTTATACTTCTAATCGATACAGCGCCGGCGAAGTCGACAAGCTACCGCACGGGTATTACGTATATTGAAAAGTGATATTTCGTCGGTTTTTTAGACATTTTGTAGTTTTTTTGTGACATAACATAGGTTTTTCTACAAGGCGTTAACTTAGCACTAGCTGTTGTACACTTGATGTGTACTCGTTTTGTAGCTGTGCTGTACGTGTTGCCTAAACGTCATGGATATCTGCTTCAGAGATGGCATTATTTGAGGTCTAAGCTGTAAATTGTATACTATAGCTGGAAGGAAAGGACAGTGCATAGTGAGGATTTGTGTGCTAATAATCTATGTTCACGATAATTTCATTGGTTTCTTGTCTCAAATACACTTACTTCAGATATATTATAGCCATAAATCAGTTGCGCTTTCTCTTATTCATTTTGGAAATTACAACATTTGGCCTTACTATAGTGAGATATAAAGTTTTTATTATTTAAATGTTAAATAATCTGCTCGACCTTATCAAAAAACATAATTTGGATGATTCGCAAAATGCTTGTTCAATTTGACTAGCAAATGACGAGTATGATCGAAAAATACACCCAAATCTTTTACTGTTTCACGCTGAATAATTATGACATTAATTATGTAATCACAAGTTATGCTCGAGCGATTTTAACATAGGAGCAAACTTTACATTTTCCAGCATTCATATATAATTTATTTCTCTTACATCAAAGCCGCTTTCCAGTGCTTTTGAATTGAGAGCGGTATACAGCATCCGGAGTGACGCTCCCGAACTGAACTAGCAAATGTACACGGGAACGCGACGATGACAACCTAACCTGTTTTTTGATGTGTTGCTTTAACGCCGACAATTTGTATCATACTGCCAAACAATGAAAATGTAAGCACATTTTGCCTTTATTTTCAGAAGCATTGTCAGACTATCCAATTGATGCTTGATGAAGCTTTTAGAATGATGGCGCAACACGTCAGGTGTCTGCATTTTTGTCGAATTCATATTTTAGTGTAGACATTCAAAATTATTTTCAAAGTTTCTAATTATACATAGATGAAGCCAACTACAAGCTGCTATTAACCTGAATTCTTGTACTCTCTTGTGATCTTTATTATTCAGGAACATCTCAAATGTACGTTGTGACTCTGGGTCATAACATTATCAGTTTTGTAATGCAAAAAAAACAAAAATGATGAAAAAACATAACCTAACAATCTTGACACATTGTCATTTTCGTTATCCCCCACTATTTCGGAGCGTATAACACCAAATAAAAAGCTGGTGCATGAGTGGGCAAGGGATTTCAAAAATGAGTAGCTCAGGTGCATTACAAGCACTTGAACGGTATTGACAAGTGATGGCAAGCTCCGAGTAACACAAACGAGGCACTGGAAAGCACCTCAGATTACTCTATACCCGACATTCTTGAAGGCAGTGGAGTTGAGCATAAAGCAACGAAGTTTTAGATTGGTCACAAGCACAGACGTCACCAGCTTCCTATTTGTTTTTCAGCTTCCTGATTTATAGTCCACAAAAATTACAATTTTCATCCCTCGCGTCGACGTTATAAATAGCAAAAAATACCTCTTTGTGTTTCCGGACCTAGAAAGGTATGATCATAGCCAATGCTGGACATTCAGAAAAACTTATTTCAAAACGATTTATTCTTTTATTTCACGAAATGCTACCATTTCCAAATGGTACAAAATACATAATGTTTAATACTGTATTAAAAATAATACCCGATAAAATATAACGGAAGCTTAAAAATTTATCGTGAATTGCATCAAAGAATCACAATATTTTTTTGCATAAACACCAACAATACTACAAGTCTTTAGATCCTTAAAAGTAAAATATTGAATGTCATTCTACGATCCATTCTGTTCTTCAGCTAGTTTCTTTGCAGCTGTCAGGGTATTTACCATGAGCATGGCCACAGTCATTGGCCCAACACCGCCTGGTACGGGAGTTATGTGGCCAGCAATAGGTTTGCATCCTGGAAAAAAATGCACAAATATAATTATTGTCACACCGATTATGCGACTTTAAATAGCGCATCAGTGTCACTACACTCACGCGTGCCTCTTTTTTCGAAATAGAGAAAGAGACATTTGATAATATGAAATTTAATACACACAAATATAACTAACATTTTGAAGAACATTACACTTCTAATACATGTTTGTGCCCGTCGAATTTGCGAGATCCAACTACTGCTCGATATTTTTGTGTGGACCTAGACAAAGGAATTTATTCGACTTCCAAGGCGCATTTGATTTGTAAAATGTATGAATCATTTAAGAAAATGGAAATCAAGATCCTTATAACCCACTACTACAAAATACAACAAGCAATTAGGGACGGCATGAAAATGCATCTGAAATAATGGTTCAAGTCATAAGAATGAACATATAAGTAGTTCTGTTAATTTGCTTTTACCAAATAAAAATAAATGGGGTATCACAATTTTGTAATTCCGGGGTTTGTCGTTTGCTCTGAAGTTTTATAATATTCCTGGGAATGTTAATTATAATTCTGAGTATTGAATCGCGTATTTTTGCAATATTTTGAATTTGAGCAGTGGGTTTATCTTCCCAGAGAGTCTTCAGGAAAGCTACACGGGTGAAACTGAATCACTCTTATTAAACTGACTACTGCTACATAAATACTGTAACACGAAGAAATAGTACTGTTGGCGCCATGTGTTGGGGACCGCGCCAGACTCTCCTACTCGCCAGAGCTTCTTTCAATTGGGGACCGGGCCAGTGACTCTCCTTCTAGACCGACGCGAAGTGCCTATCGCTATGTGGCTCACCGGAATCTTCTCGAATCAACGATGCGGAATATATAACTCGTCGGCCGGGAGAGGGAAGCAGAGTAGAGTACAGTCCAGTAAATGGCGCGACATAGTAATTCGTAAATAAATAGTCAGACATAAGTAGTGGGGTACCTAACAGTTCTATTTAGTCAAGTTAAATAAATTAGTGCATTTCCTTTTTTGGAATTCAGTGTCTTAGTCCACACCCAAAAGAACCCAGAAAAACGCTACAATACGAATCAAGGACACGAAAATGCGTAAGAAATAACAATTTGCATTTTTTCAGCGAATGAATGAATAATTTTGTCACTGTCAAGTGCTTTGTTTCGACTTTATGGTTTTTCGTAACTTCGATGAGTTCTGCTTGATCTAACATTTTGACTTTTTGAGGAAAAAAATGATGGCTATATCACTTTGTATGACATACCATAAGAAAGAGCAAGAGCAAATGATAAAAACAAGAGAACAAAGCAGTTGCTCTTCATTATTGAATAAGCGATTGTTTATACCATGATTTCGGTTTATGTCTACGATTTCACAAAATTGCGCGTAACTCAAAAACTATCGACTTTCGGAACACACTGTAATTTACATACCTTCAAAGTCGACGTCTCCAACAATTTTGCTTTTTCCTTCTGGTGTCGTGATCCTGGTTATACCAACATCAATGATACAAGCGCCAGGTTTCACCATTTCGGGCTTGATCAAATTGACAACACCTACAACAATGAGGATATTGTACTGGATGTTTCCTAACTACAGTACGAAACTTCAGAGGGTGATTCGTTAGTTTAGAAAAAAATGTAGTATTTCTAAAATATCATAAATATCCGTAATTCGATTTGGTTGAAACTTGGTGCAACTATTTGAAGTAATAGGGTCGAAATTGTTTATTTTTTATTTTTGGTTTTTATATTGTTCAAGGATTGCTTTTAGAATGTGTTAAATGGGATTTTTTTAAGCGAAACACGAGCAATCAAAAGGTTGTATTTTTACTCGCTTAATCCAAAGGCATATAAAAACTACAAAAAAGTCATTGGCGTATTTTTTTCTCAACAATATGGATGTGGTGCCTATTGAGGCGGCGCGGGATCTAATATATATAATAAATAATCTAATATAAATCGGTTTAAGGGTATTTATGATATTTTATGAATATCTTCTTTCAGCTCCAAAGACATGTACGTCAGAAACAAAGCAACACTTTTTCTTAAAACGACCTAACGAAGTTTGTTTGTGCTATAGTTAGCAAACATCCTGCACGCAGAAATATCATACTGACTTGTTGTAGCCTTCATTATCTTTGATATTTTCAAAACTTTCAAGTGTAAATCGGATACTTTAAAGTGTTCACTGTGTAAAAGATGTTGTTATCTGACCATTGAGGGAAACTACTCAAATAATTTCTTAATTTATCTTAACATATCTTTTTGTACCTGTAGCACTGATGATGATGTCCGCTCTCTTAGCGAAGAATGTCAGCTCCTCTGGGGGCGTATTTCTGTGGCACAAGATGACAGTGGCTTCATGTCCAGGTAGCTCGTTTCTAGCATCAGCATGTAATAGCAGTGATATGGGCAGACCAACGTTTTTTGATCTACCGCACACTACAACGTTCTTACCGAAAGTTTTTATGTGTGATCTGAAATTAGTTAGTCTTGTTAAGAATACTAGTCTACCCAGAGGTAGTAGAAAAAGTGACCCACAGTATTTTTATCATGAATCAGAGTCCAGTATTTTTAGTTTAATATAAGATATCAATGCTATTAAGCGAACAAAAATTGAAGAAAGGGCGGGGTGGGGGGTATGACGGCTGCATAGTTAATAGCGCTTCTGAGTGATACGTCTAGGGGCTGCAGCAACATACAGCAATAACATTGTCTTGAAAAAATGGCAGACTTAGGGGTCTATCGGCGTACAGCCCCTCTAAATCAGCACTTGCTGGGATGGAGGTATGCTGGACATCTTTTGGAAGCGGGAATGCCTACGTCCCTGGCAGTTCTGAAATGTATTAGTTTTGCGCAGTGCCGTCTTAAAATTGTAACGATGGCTGCGTGTGATATCTAGGTGTGGAACAGGACCGTTCAGGCAACACAAGCGAACAAAATAAAAAAAATATCCTGGACGACATTTGAATATAAAATATATTGCCAATGAGCGCGTTCAGCCAACCTAAAGTGGTCCAGTGCTTTTATGCTAAATAGCAGTAGGCGAAAAAATATTGTCATTGCCATTTTGATCTGTACTTTTAAAAGGCCACCGTGGCAGCCGAAATGTCAGTAAAGATAAATTTCTACATTATGTGGTTTCACACACAAATCGTTTTTATCCAAATAAATCAAAATAAGTGGGGCCAACGAAGTAGTTCTGCAAATATTTTACATATTATTTATGAATTTTTTGATAGACTATTGGCTGCCTAATATAGCAACAAAGGCATATAAGAATGATGACCTTATTCATATTTATAAAGAAAATATGCAACATACCAACTTGTGATATCATTATCTTAGTGTCATTGACCAATTATTATTGCGTTGTGGAATTATTTGACCCATAAAATCATCAGCAACATTACTGATAAAAAATTTTTATTCAATGTCATATAACTTCATTACTATTTTTTGCTATTAATGCCTAGAATATTTGGTGTGTGATCCCGAAACTGCCTCGTTTATATATGTTTTTGACTTCCCGATCATTCTTGACCTAAACAATAGTGTTATTGTTTTCAGAAATGAATCCAATTTTTTACATGTTTTGCAATGCCCCATTGGCACAATAAAAAGTTGTTTTTGGCGAGTCAAACATTTGTCATTTTTTCAAATGTCACACAGTGGCCCAAATCTCGCAAAAAGCGCACAAAATACTTTTTATGTCCCGATCTCAGCCAAAATGTATTTCAGAGGGTTTTTGCGATAAAGGATTTCATTTCTGCCATTGCCAAAATAGTGTTTTCCACAGAAAACTAATAATACGCGAAAATAAGTTATTTACGCATATCTGTTCGTTGTTTCATGAGTACCTTTTATCTAGTGGCTTGTAAATAGAAGAAATTGTTCAACTACTAGCCAGGGCTGCTAGTAAACCTAAGCACGCTGAACCAGAATTAGGTATATCTTCAGCATGGGCAGCAGCGAGGGGTAGCAATGTTTCTAAGAAACCCCAATGTTTGACACAGAATCATACAAAAAAAATCTTCAGCATGGGCAGCAGCGGGGGGTAACAATGTTTCTAAGAAACTCCAATGTTGGAGACAGAACCATACTAAATACACGAATGTTAAGCGGTTTCCTTAGAATTAATTATCTTTAGAGCTTTCGGATGTGATGATCAATGCAACGGCCGGCTCGGGGAGTGAAATTCAGAACAGAAATAAGAAGAAAATACGAAAATTTGCCTTTAGGTATTTTTGATCCTTATTTTCGTCTGTAGAGGTTCTTCTGATAAAGAAATCCGAATAATGATATCTCCATGCAGTAAAAGTCGATGCACTGCTTGAAGGCCAGTGCACTATAGGTACTTTTCTACTGGTAGAATGTAGCTATCAAAATTGAAGAAAGAAGGAATTCTGAGGGAGGAACAAGTTGCACCCATTACCCCCTTGTATTGCACATGACCTAGATGGTGACAAAGTACATCTGATAGGTCATGAATGGCTTGTTTAATGAACAATAAAATCGGAAGTAACAAATCGGTATTTAGTGAATTTTTTGTTAAAATGGAATGTTCTGCAAATGAGTTTTGTTTTGGGACAGATATCTAGACCCTCCAAGACTACCTCATCATAAAAGTCAGCGTGACCGATCCGACTCAAATTTTGTGGCGTTCGCAGTATTTGAAACCTACAAATTACGACTCTAGAAAGAGACCGATCAGAGTTGCAATAGATCTTTTAAAAATGAATCAAGTACAGAAATGTACAGTGTACTGTGGCTTGATCTTGTCGCTTTCCATATACTGCAAGCCTGCCACTGAATGTAATTCAGTTCACATATTTTACTATACGCTTATAAGAGTCCAATTGGCCGTCTTTTTCCTGTTCCATCTCAAAGATCATATTAATACTGTAATTTTCAGTGACTTCTGGCTGTGCTTAATCATTTACAAACACAAATGTTAAATGGTTTTTGGCTGCTTATCTCGAGATTTGGACCACTTTGTGTCAGAGCGCCATGATTCATAGTAGATTTTCAAACTGTTATGCATCAAAAATTACCAAAGCGTATTCTTTGTGATTTGTTGAACATTATTATTAAACTAAAAACATGTTGAAAGGTTCGTACACTTATTTGTATGTGTACATCAAATATAAAAATCTTATCAATCCAGGGGGTTCTATTTTTATTTTCGTTAGGCGATATGGGTTAAATCTTTGACTCTTTTTTACATAATTGCTCAAAAAACTACTAAAACCTACCTTTTCAAAAGTTCAATCACTCCCAAAGCTGTACAAGGTACAAATGTGTCCAAATTACAGGTTAGTTTTCCTATGTTTGTCAAATGAAATCCATCTACATCCTTCCTAGGGTCGACAGCTTGGCAGACTTTCCTTTCGGAAATATGCTCTGGGACAGGCAGCTGTATCAAAATTCCATCTACAGTTTTGTCATTGTTTAATTCGTCTATTTTCTTCAAAAGTTCGTCCTCTGAGGTGGAAGCAGGCATTCTTATTGTTTGACTTTTAATGCCTGTAACAAGTTTGATTTATCTCATAAAAATTTTCGAAAATGCGACACGCCTTTTCACCGTTTTTGGCGGGTCACAATTAAACTATAGGAATTGCTTTCAAATGTCGTCGATCTCCCTCACAAATACATAAGCATAACTGCCGCGCAAGGACATACGTTATTGAATTTTGTCTCACAGCCTTGAAGAGTTTCTTCGTCAACGTATACGTCTATCAAATGTATGCTTGTCATTATCACCTCTGTTGGTCTTCGATACAAAACACAGTAGAGATACAACTAAATACAATATCGAAAATCTACGGAGAGGTTCAAATTTGGCTGACGTCGTAATGTGTGCGAGAGCACTAGAAGCGTGCAATATGTATGTTAGAAAGAGTGCACCAAGGCATTCGTGACCTCGTACTCAGGTTGCTAGGCAACGAGGTGCTTTCATCTCTTTCTAACACACGTATTGCACGCTTCTCGGGCGTCTCTCTCGAACTCACTACGATGCGACGTCAGTGGTATTTAGCTTTCAGTGTACAAGTATTTTCAGAAAGTTAGTGAAAACAACGTTCCTCTATCACCCAACTCATATGTGCAAAAGCAAGTAGCAGCTACCTTACAGATAGGAAAGTTAAGCTAAATACATGTAACCATTAGTTTACTGATCACAGCTGTTTACTTATTTACGACATCGTGACGTAACCGCCAAAAACCGTGAAAAGAACTAAAGCTTAGTTAACTACCCAGGATTGAAGGTCACATGTTTGTTTTTTAATGCTAAAAGACTGTGTCAAATCATCAAAATGTACCAGAGAAAACTACTAAAAAATGGAAATTGTGGTCACTTTAAGCATGAACATCTTTAAAACTTCATATACCTTGGTAAATATCGGAGAGCAGTGTTTATTAATAAATGAGGAGAGATGACTTTGTCTATAACGTAAGACAAATATTTTTGTATGTACCTATAACATTTCAATAGATAAAAATTCTGTCTACTTACCAACTTTTTTAGCAGCAATCATCTTGTTGCTGACATATTTCTCACTAGCGGGATCTTCACCAACCAACACGGCAATCAAGCATGGTACCCTGTGACCTTGCTCGATCCAGTCTGTCAGTTCTTGATGCAATTCTTTGTGAATATCATCGGCAATTTTCTTGCCGTCGATGAGCTTGGCTCCCTCACTATGAGAAATAACTTCATTAGTGACTACCAAACAACCTAAATTGTGACTGAAACTACATTTAGTTTAAATGGTCCTGATCCCATGTACAACAACTATATGTTAATCAAGTAATTGTGTTTATAACAAGGCCTTGAAGAAAAAGAAATATAGCTAATGCTCAAAAGCTAGCAAAAAGTAGTGCGTGGTCTGCGCTTACATAACGGACTCGACCGATGCACTGCTAGTGGTTGCTGGCATCCTGCCAATTGATTTGCTAGCTGAGGAGAAGTGCGCGCTCTACAGGAAGGGCACCATTGATAGAAGCGACGAAAGGCATGCGCTTTATGTCAGATATGCGTCTAGCAGTTTTGCTTATTAAAACAGAACGTAGATCCTAAATGAACTGAATTTGCATCCATAAAGAATGATATCTACAACAAAATTGCAAACTTTCGTAGTTGTATCTGAGAATGTTGTTGTACACAATTTTGAACATTATCTCTCCTGAAATCATTCAATACCTTATAAACTTGGATCCAATTCGGAAGGCACATTTTCAAGGTTTTAATCTTTGCTTACTGTACGATAGAATTTGGGACTAACATCTAGACGCACTTGTCACCTTATTGAATACGCAAAATTGCAATACAAACTGCAGAATTTTCGTGTCCTTAAACTTGAGATATTTCATGGTACCTGGGATCCCGCCAAACAGTAAAAGTGGTTTTATTTTGGGCCAGATATAAATTGATGCACAAAGAATCACTTCACTTTGTTTACAAACACACTATAACAGAAATGCATTTCTACTTACATCAGACGCATTTTTTTAAGTTTTGTTTTGCGAAGGAAAAATATGATTTGCTTAAGTTCCTGTAAGAAAACACGCGTATGAACTGAAATGTATTGTAGTGTTATAGAATTTATATATCCAGATTTGTCTTATGTGGAAATAACTACTGCTAAAAACAAGATAAGAATTAATTACATCAGATGTGTTTAAAAAAAAAGATTTCTCACATGTTCACTTGTTGCAACATCAGTGGAATTTCTTAAGCATTTTTATCAACTGTTAATTGCAAAAATATTTACTATTTCAAGACCACCATCTCAGTTGGCCACTTTATATTCTACAGTAAAAACAAGTCATTATACAGTGCTTTTTGCAAGCCTCCCCCTACCTATTTTTTACACTGCAATGCTATTCTGGTTATTTTTGGATACCTTCTCGAATATACATTATATATATATATATATATATATAGTGGACCTCCGGTAATCAGACAAACATTATGCAGGGCAGTGTCGGACTATCGAATTTGTCGGATTCTACAGCACTGCCAGAATTTTTTACAAAAGAGTACCTTGTAATCCGGCAAATTACATATCCAATGGTCAGATTATATATGTTATGTATATCTATGTACTTTGAAGTATACATAGTTTATGCATGTCGAATTTAGTAAATTAAATAACAATAGAGAGCTTACGTTTTATTATAAAATTAAGCATAAATGCACATACATAATATGTACCAAAATAATCAAGAATTATTAATCAAAATCATTAATGAATTTATCAAATTATAAAGCTTGTAAATATTCATCAATTTTTTTTTGATTAAGGTTGTTATAACGCGAGATCAGAGCTTTGTCCCTCAGTCTTCTCAAAAGTAAAAGTTCGTTGTAGGATGTACCATTCTCTTCAGCTCATTGTAAACCTAGCTCAAAGGCATTAATTGCGTCTTGGGCTGTGACTTGTGGAGCAGTTGCAATCGCGTCGTCGTTATTTTCCTGATTGTTTGTTGTATAATTAGAAACCTCTTTTATACATAATCTCTTCGTCAGACAGTTCATGAAAAACATTTTCCTCTTTATCCATTCCACGGCACCATATTTCCAAATCTTCCGGACTTATCTGTGTTTCAGTAGCGACTTGTTCTATAACTTCCGAAGTAACACTGATTTGTGGAACGTTGCTAGGAGTGGTGACTATATCTGGCCATAACTTTTTCCAAGACCATTTAATAGTTGACGACGGTAACTCATTCCACGACCGACAAAGAGCAAAAACCAAGTCTTTCATATTAAATTCTTTTAAAGTTTTTTCTATTGGTTGGTCTTTTGATACGGCTCTCAGAAGTAGGTTTTTCTTATAGTCTTGCTTGACAAACTGAATGATATTCTGGTCCATTGGTTGAATCAGTGCAGTGCAATTTGGCGGAAGAAACATCGCAGTGATGCATTTATCCTCAGTTGTTAGTTCTTTTTCAGACGGATGACCGGGTGCGTTATCAAGAAGCAACAACGCTTTTTGAGGAAAATTATGACCATTTTCTAACTTCAGGTACGAAGCATTGAACAAACCACTTTTTGAAAAGGTCTTTTGTCATCCATGCACTTTTTTGTCCGTAATAGTGTACAGGTAAATCAACGTTTTTGAATGCCCGTGGTTTATTAGATTTCCCAATGACCATCATCTTAAGCGCGTGTGTGCCCGCAGCGTTAGCACATGGTGGTATGGTTACACGCTCTTTACTTACTTTTCGTCCAGGTACGGATTTTTCGTTACAAGAAACAAAAGTTTTGTTAGGCATCACACGCCAAAAAAGCCCTGATTCGTCTGCATTGTACACCTGTGACGGATCAAGATTTAAATCGTTCACCTTTTGCAAAAATCTTTATTTAAAGGGCTCCATGCAGGTGGCATCGTTAGAAAGTTTCTCTCCTGTAATGGTCATTAAACGTATGCCATGACGACTTTTAAAACGTTCTAGCCATCCTTTGTTATTTCCTTATAAAAAAACTTAGCTTTCATGGCCAACATGGTTCCTGAAATGGGTGCATGCCTACTTCTTTCCTGAAGAAACCACATGAAAGCTTCTTCCACTTCTGGATGTTTAGCTTTCTTGAGTGTCTGTCTCTTGCCTGGCCCGCAGTCAGTAGTTGTCACGAACTTCTTGATCTTCTCGTGGTTTCTTTTAATGTAATAAATTGTAGATCGGGCTACGCCGTATTCACTTGCTTAACTACTGAAAGCTTCATTGCGATTTAAGCGGTCTAAAATATCACATTTTTCTTTAATTGTCAATGTTTTGTGCTTTCGCTTCTGAGTTTTTGATGACATTACTAGGTACTATACTTAATACACAATGAATAAATGGTAAACAATGAACGCACGCTAGGCCGTACCGCTATCACCAGTAGTCAAATTCAAACTAAGTAAAACAATGTTACGCGTCGAGCACGATAGCGGTGGTGCGTACAAGTTGTAACCTGTTCAAACCTGCCTGATCTACATTAGCGAAGATTGTCAAATACGTATGTATGTAATAGATATTCAAAGACATGTCGGATTACAGGGGGCGCCGGATTAGACAGGGCCGGATTATCAGGGGTCCACTGTTTATATATATATATATATATATATATATATATATATACAGGGTGTTCCATAATTATTGCGACAAAATGATAGGGGTTGTAGAGGGCATAAAAATATGCAATTTTGCCTTATAAACCCCTGTTCGTAAATATGCCGTTTGAGCACTACCGCTAATTTTACCTTAAGAGAAACAAAAAATTCAACAGCTGCAAAATGTTCGTCTAGCACATTTCATGGTCTCGCCGATTTGTAAAAAAAAGCCTGCTGTGTTTACATTTTTGTTATCGTAAATTCTCCACACCGATTCATTTAATTTATCCGAGTGGTGCGTCAAACTAGAGGCCAATCCGCGCACAAGCGTGCGTGCTATTGCACATGAAATGGGAGCGTCTCAAACTACTGCTTGGCGGGTTCTCCATGACCAGCAACTACACCCATACCACCTTTTAAAAGTCCAAGCCATGGGTCCAGAAGACTATCTGCCGCGTCGACGTTTTTGTCGTTGGTGGCTGCAGCAGGAGTTGAGGCAACCAAACTTTGGCGCTACGTTTTGTTCACTGACGAGTCCTGTTTTACAAAGGACGGTTATTTTAATAGCCGTAACAGTCACATTTGGGATGAAGAAAACCCTCATGCCATAGCCATCCATAGAGACCAACATCAGTTTTCAATTAACATCTGGTGCGGCATTGTGGACGAGCACATCTTCGGGCCATATTTGCTTCCACCACGTTTGGATGGGCATGCTTATGGTCGATTCTTACAGCATGTGCTACCGGAACTATTAGAAAATGTGCCACTGAACATAAGAGCCAACATGTGGTTTCAACACGATGGCGCTCCAGCCCACTTTTCTTTACAAGTGCGGCAGTATTTGGACGACAAATAGGTGGATCGGCCGAGGTGGCCCTGTGCCTTGGCCTGCGCGGTCACCCGACCTGACCCCACTGGATTATTTTCTCTGGGGCCATCTGAAAGCTTTAGTGTACGAAACTACTGTTCCCAACCAACAAGAGCTACTGGGAAGAGTGATGGCCGCGTCCGCACATGTTCAGGACAAACCGCGGGTATGCCACAGAGTTCGCCGATTATTGAACAATCGTGCACAGCTGTGTATTGTATTGAGCAAGGTGGAGGACACTTTGAGCAATTACTGTAGGTAAGCTGTTTCAAGAAACTGATCTTTTTTTTTTGCTGCATCCCAAACGGCATACTTCCGAACAGGGGTTTATAAGGCAAAATTGTTCATTTTGATGCCCTCTACAACCCCTATCATTTTGTCGCAATAATTATGGAACACCCTGTATATTACTATAAATAAATAATACTACATTTCAGTGTAGGGTGACAGTTGAAAATTCCAAGATGGCGGGTCGATGCCATATTGGAGTATTTTTTAATGAAATGGGTGATCGTGTGAGTAGTTTACAACCTTGGAGTATGAAATCACTACATTTAAAGATAACGACTGGTAGGCTGTCAAATTTGAACCTTTTTGTACCTTTAGTCGATTACAACACAACAAAACGCTTTTTCTCCTGGGTCTATTCGAATTTAAATATAAAACATTCCATTTGAAAGAAATGTCAAAATCTGTTAAATTTTTTTAAATTGAATACCTACCTCTTATTTCACTGCAGATAGAAATAGGTCCTTCCCCCTCCAAAAGAAGATTAATATTACATATTATGGCGTTTTGCTAATTAATTCTTGAGTGATATAACAATATACAAAAATACTCAACTGGGATAGCTTCCCAGTCCGTCATTTTGAAAGATAGTGATTTTATATTCTAGGATTATAAAGTTACTCATAAGGATCTTCAGAATCAGGTACACGGCACCTAATTCTATTGAAAAAACGTTTCAAGATGGCGGCTGGGTGCAATTCTTCCCAAATTTCACTTGATCTGTTCAAAAAATAAGTATAATCAAGCTTTTCTCTGAGCAGCATTATAATATAATATTATAATAACCAATAAATAATCATGTAGTGATTTTAAGACCACTAGAACATAAATATATATATATATAATCAAAATTAAATGCATATTATATACCAAATCCTCATTCGATCTACAACTTTTGTAATATTGACTTCACACCAACCCAACTTATGTTAGGCAAAAAATTTTACCGCAAAACCATGAATTGCATAACTATACGTCATACCGATCATATGACGGTATTTTGTAGTATAAATAGTTATAATATCTATCAAGCAAAAGATAGTGAAAGAGTAGCTTCTTGGGAACAATGAGTAGAAAATGTAAATTAAAAGGACTAACGATTTATTTTTAAAAATGACAATTTTACGTTACTGTGAATACAAAACTAATAATAATTGATAAATAATTCTTTAAAAATTAATAACATGGGATAATATCGAGTTTCATGTCAATGTGATAAGGATTATCTCAGGAACAAAACAGTCAAAATCATTCAAATTTTGGAAAAGCTTGTTTATATAAATTGTGACCAAACGGAAATGCCACCCTATAGGTTGTCAGTTTAGAGCTTTCTTTGACAGATTCAGATAACTTATTCTAAAATGTTATCAAATCTGTGGGGATAGTGAAAATTTTAGCCAAAGCTTCATCAATGTGATTCATTAACACTTGTTTGGTTTCAGATCACAATGATTAATGAAACGCTGCCAGACTTCTTCACTACAAAAGGCCCTATCCATACCAATGTCACTCCACTAAAATTTGGAAATAGTACATATTGGATGGCCACAATCACTGCTGATGCACCAGCATCCAGCCAGAAACCGAGCTTAAAACCTTATGAAGATAATGAAGAGGGTCTAATAGACTGTGAAGATGTGGAGGATACCTATGATATCCTCCTCACGAAGTCTGGCAAGTTCATGACATCATTTTATGTTCCTTCAAGCTTGTTGGCCTATATAATAGGTCCTAAAGGGTCAAAACTGAAAAGCCTTCAAAGGAATACTAACACACTGATTAAAGTACCGAGAGTCAATGAAAAAGGTGATGTCAAGGTTACAGGAGATACTGAAAGAAGTGTTGCATCTGCAAGAACACAAATATCATTGATCGTTATGCAAAGGAAGGACAAAGTCCCGTTCAGTCACTTTGTGTCAATACCTGTCAACTCTGAAGGTATCAAGGCAAAGTTTATGGAATTCAAAGATGATATACTGAGAGATCCACCCAGAGGAGTGACAGAATCTATTTTCCAAACACCAAACAAACTACATTTAACTATCTGTACTTTAACTCTCTTAGATGAAGAAGAAATCACTGCTGCAAAGAAAATTTTGCAGAACTGTTATAATGAAGTGATCACTAAACTTTTGCAGAAAAACAAAACCTACAGAATCATTGTTGAAGGCATTGAAATAATGAATGATGATCCATCAGAAGTGAATGTACTGTATGGGAAGGTGCATATGTCAAATGAAGCTGATACTTTGAAGCTTCAAGAGGTTGCTGACAGAATTGCTGATTATTATTATAAATCTGGGTTAGCAAGGAGGCAATATGACAAAGTAAAACTACACGCTACTCTGATGAATACGACGTTCAGAAATGTTGAGGAGAAACAAGAAAAAATTGATGCTAGTGATATCTTGCAAAAATATGCAACATACCACTTTGGATCCAGTCCATTTGAAAATATTCATTTGTCTATACGGTTTACAGGAAGAGGAGACTATTATGAACCTGCTCTTGTGCTGGATATATAAAATATGCATTTAATAATAAAAGTACCTTATTTCAGACATTCTTCTAACAACTGCAATCCTAATAACACCTTTTAACCACACGTTAAATAACTGTAATGGCCTTGATATCAACATAGTTCATAATAATGCCGATGCAAGTAGCATACTTATCAAAACTGCAATGGTAGAATTTTTTAATGATTATAAAATGCATAAGCCAGCAGCACAAATATTAGGTTAGGTACACCTTCATGTTTTTGTTTTGAATCTAATTGTCAATCTCTCTCATTTGCCATCCTGAATTCCTCAAATGCCTTTTAAGAATTCGAAAATAATGTTTTCTACCCCCTGTTCTTAATTTAGTTGATTTGGGCGTAACGCTATGGCACCTTGTGCATAATGATTGCTGGGCGTTGCGTTATTACAATTTTAGACGATAAGAATTTCGCTGCTGGGGTTCTCTCGCTCGGATACGATAAAATTCACGATTGGTTGTTTATAGATAAAAGCCATATGGTTTATTAGATCATTAATTTGCGGAATACCAGACTTATCTTTGTAGTTACTAATTATCAAAATAGTTTATATACTTACTTGCTCGTATTTTCCGTCATATTATCGATGTTTCGTTAGAGGTATGATCGGCAACTTATGTTAAGGTGTACACAAGTATCTATATTGTTTATAAAAACATACCTAGACCTACATAATTTTGTACTTTATAGAAAGTATTGAGTAGGTGGCAATAGATACCGTAAATTCCATCGGAAAACATTAATTAATTGACGAGGCGGTTTCTCTAGTGGAAACGACGACAAAAGGTAACAGTGCCGGATTTGGAATGAATTGGTTATATACTCTCCATAATCTAGGAACTGTAGACAAGGGCACCTTAGATCCATTTTGGCAAGTATAAATTCAGCAAAATTTGATTTATCGGATGTGGGGTTTTAAATAATTTATCTGACATACAAAACCCAAGTTCCAAATTTCAAGTACTTGGTTATCGCTGTTTCGATTATCGACATTATTCTTTTCAGATTAAAAAATACATTTTACATATCAAAAAATATCAATTTATTCACCCTGAAACATTTTTTATACTCCAGCTACCACGAAGGCCTAAACACCCATGGGGTACCGTGGGGCTATATGGGGATACATGGGAAAAGGGGGGGCGCCACATGGGCATCACGTGTGCATGCAGCATACACACATTCCGGCCCTGCTTATGAGTTCCGCGTACGACAGTCAGAGACCGTCTACCGTCTACCAACCTACGGACAATCACAACATCTATAGCCAAGAGAAACATTTCTCTTGGGACGGGATTCGACCCTCGCAGCGCACGGCGACTGATCAGGAGACGAAGCGTCTACCACCACGGCCACCTCTACTGCCTAAGTAAAAAAGATTGTTAAGCCCCAGTCTGATGGAATCCTAAGCAAGTCTGTGTGCCATTATGAGGTTGGGATCCAACTAATAAAAAAATGGTAGCTATGACAACATGGATTGGAATCGCCTTAAAATTTAGACTTCCACCTTACCGTCAAAATTGTAACTGAAAATAAATTATTTTTAAGTACAAATTGTTCAATGCTCCAACTCAGGGCGAAAGTGTCCACTCTAACATAAATTTTGTTGTATCTACCGATCAGTTAAAAACCTATTAGTGTTTTGTTCGTGACTCATGTTTTCTCTACGTATGTATTAACAATTTTTTCGATGTGTCTACTCCATCTTAAATCTCATGCTAAGTACCTTCTTTGTTTTTTATTCGTCACACTGTGATTAAATATGTACTTTTTTTGAACATTGTATACATTCAGCTCTAGTTGGCGAGGTGAAAGTAAAGGCTTTTACAGTGTACTTTGTACTACTCTGTAACAATTTTAGCGATCGAAATTGTTAGAAGTACCTGTTACACGGGTTCAGAAATAGAACAAAGTAATCCTTCTGGAACGTCAAGTGTGCTTTTCTTCCCGAGTTAAAAATCTTGGGAATGAGAGTTCTGTATTCTCATGGTTCATTGTTTATCAAGAATTGCTCAAAATTGGCAAAATGTATATTTATCATGATACATGTTACCTCGTATCCTTAGGGTATCATAAATACAATGGTCGCATCAAACGTGGTAAGAAATTATTCGGCTGTCATCAAGTGTCATTACAGGACTAATAATTTAGGCGTTCTAAAAATAGTTTCACAGTATTCCAGAGCAAAAATTCATCTGTCAATCTACATTCGATTACCGTGTACGGCATTGCATTACCAAGTGATCCCCTGGTAGGGCTTAACCCTTAACCGACCATGTGGGGTCTAAAGGACCATGCGGTAATTAACAAATGGAACAATGTAGTTGATGTCACTGCCAATGATATAGATAGTGCTACGGAGGATGAAAATATTGAGTCAGAACATGACACGTCCTCCATGCCTCTCCACACAACGCCAGAAAAACATGAGAAATGTGGAACCGATTTTCATAATCTTCGCAGGTTCTCGGCTTGTTCTCCGATTTTTGGCGCAAGACAAGAGCTGAGAACAGGCGAGAACCTGTATTGACTCCACACTCGACTCTCAGTGGCAGGTGACTCGCCGATTAAAACAGTTGTGCTTGGGTTTTCACTACCGAGCATCAATATGAGCCGGATTTGGACGAACGAACTAGAAGTGGCACTCCTAGAATATTCTCAACTAGAACCGATTTTGTGGAACACAAATTTAAAAGAATATAAAAATAAACATAGAAGCCCACGATGCGTGGAAACGTATTAATACCTTGATGGGATTACCCAATGAAGAATTAAAAAGCAAAAAAAAAATATTAGCCAGCTACAGAGGGTATAACAATAAAGTCATTAAATCGGAAAAATCTGGTGCTGGTGTCGACATTTAATTCTGCGTCCATCGTCATCGAGTACGAGAACTGTATCGAGAACCTTGCGAGTGTGGATCCAAAGAAGTTCTGGCGTCAGTGTGGAGCGGCTTTTAGACTTCTTGCTAGAAGATCGTGACCAAGAAAGCTACAAAAATATACCCATCAAACGGAAAATATTTCTATGCAAAAAACTGCGTCGTTCCTTCATCTCGTAATGCTGTGTCGACGCGCGATTTGCTTACAGTGCTCGAAACCACACTGCAATACATGCGCGAAAAAGTGAATGTTTAGCTTCTGCTGGCGGAAAATGTCTTTCTTTTTATTTGAATCTATTCTGTAGTTTAGGTTTCTAAAGAATGTTCCAGAGAAATATTTTGGAACACAGCACTACTATTTTTCTGGTAAGGTTTTAAGAATACATGTCATTAGGCCAAGTCTACAATTAGTTTTGCAAATATTGATTGTTGACACAAACCAATGTAGAAACAAACTGTTATGTTCTTATTTATATGTTACAGTGATGTCACTATTGGTTTATACATGATTGTAGTAAACATTTTCCAAGAAAGGGACATGTTTTCTATCTGCACAGTTATTAATCTGCGAGACCCCACAGGGGTCTGCGTCCAAATATCTCGCATAGTAGACGGAAATAAAACAAAGAGATCTCATGTTTTGTTATTTATTCAAGGTTGTACATTATACATTAAAAAAGACCTTACATTTCTAACTTAGACAAAATAAAAGGAAACTACACTACACACATACTCCTGCAAAACACTGTATAAATGACAAATTTGAACACGTGTTTGTCTGTTATGCTAGTCAAACTGTAGAAATGCTGTCAGATTGAAATATTCATTTTACCAGATGTCTTCCTAAATGATAAATGTTCATAAATACTGACAACCAATAAAAGTACAATGAGTAATTTAATATATGATATATATTATGATGGATGATGAATACAGTAACAAGTTATGTTTCAAAGCATTTTAACAAAGTGTCACCACTATGATCAAATGCCTTTAGCTATAACTGCTTGGCAGGACACTCACAAGAAATGAACATTGAATTCTACAATAAATGTATGCATTAAGATTAAGAGAATTGTGATTTACGCTCTCTCTCCTCGAATTCGGCGTGCCAACTGTATGTCTTTAGGCATGATGGTGACACGTTTTGCGTGAATAGCGCACAAGTTGGTGTCTTCAAAAAGACCTACCAGATACGCCTCACTAGCCTCCTAGAAAATCAATAAAAAAACAATTAGGATGATCAATGAAATGAAAATAATTTTCAAAAAACAATGAATGCATTTAGCTGAAGGAAAGCAGTTCCGCGCTTTTATGCTTATTAGAGGTAGCCATGGGTAGCTGTTAATCTGACAGTAGTTTTCACTTGGCTGCCAGATGTGATAGTTTATCAGATGTTGCTTACTGTTGAAGCTACTTCTATTCAGCAATGGTGCTGTATCAATGTACTGGTTTACTTAGTTCAATGCACTTAATTACTGTAATGCAGGGACAGTTGGTCAAATGAGCAATTATCAGTTTAACAAAATTGAACTTTCAAGCAGACATTTATTTCCTTTTACTAAACTAAATCATGTAATACTCAGCATAGAGCCTGAAAAGTTAAATGGATATGGGAAGACCAACAGGTTTTGACAAAAACTTGGCTTCATAGTTCCAAAATAACACTTTTTGCAAGTGCTCTCCACTAGAGTATTTTGATATATAGTAAATCTTGTTTGTGGCGTTTTGTTTTTGCATGCAACTGAACTTTTCTAAATAAAAGAAAAACAAAATACGGCTTTCTATCTGGCGTTGACGGATCCGTCAGAATTATGTGTCCTGTGTCGATATGGGGAATTTGGAAGTATTACTAGATAACCTGCTGTCATTCTACTGTGATTACTGGCGAAATAGGGTATATCTAGATAGACTGCCCTGAACATTAGCACCTCACATCAAAAAGCAACCACCTGTTTGGGCTTACTTAACACAATCTTAATTTAGATGTGTTGAATCGAAGTTTATGAAGTTAATAGTTTGCACTTTTTTGTTAGGTTAAAGGTGACTGAAGTTGGAATTTCCACATTGGTTAAAATAGGTTATGAAAACCAATACCTATAAAATTATAGTGATGAAACAAAAGATATATAACTTAGGATATGTAGAAACCACTCTTATTCCATGATCCAAGATCAAAAAGAATTACTTTACTGCCCATTTTAAGCTATATGCAAATGCAAACTTTAATTTTGAAAACAAAGTTTCTTGTCAGCATACATTTGAAACAATTTAAAATGACAGCCAAACATAAAAAAATCACCGGTTTTCATGATTGCTCTTTGATTTGCTAGCATCTTACACAATAAAGATAATTTTAATAAAACCCAAGTACTGACAAAGGCATAATGGTGGTTGCATGCATGCATGCATGTTCAATGTGCCTAGCCTCTGAATCAACCCTTGAATACTCCAGCACTTCTACTTTTGCGTCTCACAATGTTCTATTTTTATGTTTGCTCTTTCAAAATTTTGATAGCAATATTACCAGATAGATAGATATTAACATTTCATGAAATTCTGTCAACACAATTTTAAAACTAAGTGAAAATCGGTTATAACGTCTTTCAAGGGACCTAGCAAAGGAAGTCGTTATATCCGATTTTCGTTGTAAGCAATAGTGTCTTTTTTAGTTATTTGGATATATAAGGTCAATTCTATGAATTTAATACACCTACAACAGAAAACACGTAAACTGAATAAGATGATTAATTTAGAACATCTCAAGGCTTTAACTCCAAAATAAGAAGGTATTAATATATAATTTTCGACTGTTTTTTTACATTTATCAGTTTGGTATGCACATTAAAATTCCTTATCGATAGATTTAAAACATTCCTGCTTTAAAAGGGCTGCTAAATTTCTCATTGAAAATTAGAAATTGTTGTTGTGTACTGTTGAGACTAATATTCGTTTCTCGAACAAAGAAAAAAAATATTGTGTAATATTAACGAGTTTGAACCGGCAAAAGTGACGGTTTATCACTGTAGCCGATATTTTTTTATTTTATACGGTTTTTTTATATACGGGAATATAGTTTCGCCGATAAATGCAAACTCGTATAATCCGATAGGTCGTTATAAGTGATGTCCTACTAATCAATTTCTACAGTATTTCAAAAAGGTTAGAGCTCAGTGTGTTGCTTATAAGGACTATTAGACATATATGAAATCAGCCCAAGGCGACATCTATCAATGTACTCCTCCTGAAGTAGCCAACCATGTAGTGTGTTTCAGTATTAAAAAAATTATCTATTATGAAATGAGACATCCTGACATCATCGATGAGAATGTAAAAGCTAGATGCCTCCTCTCCACAATAATTAGAAATCTACTTTGAAAAGGTTAGTACAGACCATGCATGTGGCTGGCTACACTATTGGATTTTACATGAGTATCCATTACAGTAGAATAACCGCTGATTATCTAGTAATATTTCCAAATTCTCCATATTGACGAGTAGAAATTCCACAATGGATCTGTTAATGACAGAGCTGTATTTTGTGGTGGTTTTTTTGTAGGCCACAGATCTATTTTTACTTGCTTACACCTATTTTATTAAGTTCCTTTGCATAAAAAAAAAAGATCGCTACAAGCAAAATGGCAGCTAATGATCATGACTAAATGGTAGGTAGAAATAAAATAATATAAACAGTATTTGACTATATTATCACTACTCTTTATAATATGAAGCACCATATGATTTTAAAGGGAAATGAGACAGCCATAAAATTAATTCAAAATCTGTGGCAGCATGTGATGGAGTTGATAGAGATTTGATTCCCTGAATTAGATCTGAACATTACTTGGGTAATTCTAACAAATTTGAAAAATGTAAATGAAATATACAGCCATTGCAGGAAGTAATGAAATATACAACCATTACAGGAAGTAATGAAATATATTCAACTTTGACAATGCAGTGTTCATTCCGTATTGGGTCCTCTAATATTTCTCCTTTTTGTAAATGACTTGCCAGACTTCATTTCAAGGGAAAAGTTACAATGTTTGCAGATGATATCACAATTACTGTATCTGGAAGTTCTGTAGATGAACTACACAAAACGTCCTAGTCATATTTGAAGAAATGGAAGTTTGGTGCTAAAGAAACAAGTTGATCCTAAATAAAAACAAAACTACCGCAATCAACTTTCATATTAGAAAAGCCATACACTCAACTGCTAAGACAGTATTAAATTTAGAGCTTGGTTTACAGTTAATGGATAGCATGAAACTCCTTGGTGGTAGTTGGTTCGATGCAGATCTCTCCTTCAGCACCCAAACTGGGAATGTGTGCATGCATTTAAATAAAGGCAATTATGCCATATTAAATATGACACAGTATTTAGATAAAAAGAGCATATTATCACTATACTATGCTCTCATATACAGCCATTTATCTTATAACATCTTATGCTGGGGTATAGCCACAAGCATCAACAGACTTTTTATATCACAAAAATGAATAAATTGTTGTTCAAACTTAGTTTTGATGACAGTTGCAAAAACATATTTATTCAAAATAAGCTCTTGACAGTTCCATGTATTTAAGTGTGTTAAATATGTTAAGTGAAACATCAATGATTTCAGCACACAAAATGAACATCACACCTATAAGACCAGAAATTCCATTTTGAAAACTAATCCTTTTAGAACTATGGCATATATCACTATAGCAAAATTACCCTAGTTCAACTACATGTCATTGTACAATACTCTACCCTCAAGATCTGCGAGATATAGTGAGCTATATAGAATTAAAAAAATAAGATTTTTAAGTATTTAAGTGAGACATGTTTTTACTCTATAAATGAATTTTAAATCTTCAAAATCAGTAAGCATCATGCATTCTATATTTTATTCTATATCTTTTATGTATTGTTTTAACAAGTAACTATTTTTCTGTAGTTTTGACCATGCTGGATGAACTTGTACTTTTTTATCTTGCTTTTTTAACTTGTTTATGTATTGTGATATTTTATTATACTACTTTCTTTTGACATTCCATGTGAGCTTTAGTTTGGAATATGGCTAAATATACTACTACTGCATGTATACAGGCATGTACCAACTGTTGAGAACACATCCAGAGGAAATGAAAATTTAGCATAGAAGCTGGAAATAAGAAATCTAGTTCATAGTTTTTGCAAATTTAACTATTAAAAGGATATACTAAAGACATGGAAATCTGCTCTTGAATTGGTTACCCAAGCACTATGTCAACCATACACACAAGCTCTGGCCTTTAATTGAAAATCTTAAGCCATTCATACTTGACCTGTATCTGAATTTGTTGCACTGACAACAGAAAATTAACCATACACATGGGTGTATATTATATATACATGTCAAATTTTATAATAATCATTTTTTGAGTACTTCATTTATTTTGTCAAAATTCCCCAGTCACTAAAATTACGAAGTTATGTGAACAGCTCTGAATACTATCTTGAGTTTTATCAGATTTACACCGAATTAATTAATGCCAATTTACAGTTCAATATAAAGGTGTCACTTGCTGATCATCTATTCAGTAAATGTCAAAATGTACTGGATTAAATCGACTGTACACATGCAGTGAAAACACTGTCCATTTGGACATCTATTATACAACATATGCATTCAAGAAATTAGGGCTGCAGTATTTATTCTCATGTAAGTTTAATATCAAATCAAATCTGGGACTAACATTAAACACTACATCAGTAACACTCTATCTTATCTCATAAAGTCAGAAATTTATGTTGTTTTTCAGAGGGAATTGGAAAAATTGTTTGAATTTGACATTTTTAGAACAAAACATGTAACAGTACAAAAGTGACTTTTTTCAAATATAGTCAAAACTAGCCATATAATAAATTAGAATCACAGTTCAAATCTTTCATTTTTTAGTAATACATATTTGTAAATTGCTCCAAAATCTTTTTCAGCCATTGCAGCATTGCGCAAGTTCCCTTAATGTATCCTATAAATGTTATGATATGCTCAAATGCTACAAACTCCACTACTCTTAATTGCATGTAAATGATTTATTACCAAATTACCTGTAAGGCTCCGATAGCTGCAGACTGGAAACGCAGATCGGTCTTAAAGTCTTGTGCAATCTCTCTAACCAATCGCTGGAAAGGCAGTTTCCTGATGAGCAATTCAGTAGACTTCTGGTATCTCCTGATCTCACGGAGAGCTACTGTACCAGGACGGTAACGATGAGGCTTCTTGACACCTCCTGTGGATGGGGCAGATTTCCTTGCCGCCTTTGTGGCCAGCTGTTTACGGGGCGCTTTTCCTCCCGTAGATTTACGGGCAGTCTGCTTTGTACGTGCCATACTTTAGCTAAAATCCATTAAAGAAGCTTGGTAATTACTTGTCTGATACAAGCAACTAAGATAGGACAAAAACAGCTCAACATATTAACTGCTAACAGTTAATTCATGGATAATAATCATTGGTTGTTAACTTTTTTGCAATCTTTTATCAAATTTAGTATCAAAAAGAGCAGAATGTTGAGCTCCTCAAGGCAAAGTTTTCATGTTACGCAGAGAGAAAAGAAGACATATTGAAATACCTAATCATGAGCTCCTCACATAGATGTGAAATGTGTAAACATGGAGTGAACCCTAAAACAATGACCCCCAAAAATTTACTTTCGCGCCAAAATTAGTCAACACGTGCTACTCGAGGCAACAAAAAGGTGGCCAAAATATGCGTTAAATCTATAAATTACCACCAAACAATATAATAATCGTGTTATTTTTTCCTTCACGAGCAAATCTTAGGGAAACTGGGACGAAAACACGATTGTCGAACGACAACATGGCCGACAATTTCCCAGTTCAAAGTGAAAAATTACACCGCTGGTCTATTTTTTTGTAATTACAAGCGATAATTCAAACTTTTTTGAAAAAAGCAATCTGAACATCGTCATTACGAGATTTTGTCTGAAAAATAATTGCAAAATTGAGTTTTTACTTACAAAATTCCAAAAATTGAACTGGAAAATACACAAGCGATCGACAGAACACAACAAAGGAGAAAGTCAAAGTGAAGTGAAGTGACGCTGACGCCTGTTTCGAAGTATCCTATTGGTTAGCTAGCACGGGACCCGACTAGACTTCTACTCTGCGATTGGTCGAAATAAGATGCGTTGCTATTGGTTAGGCGCTTATGGATTTTCCTAAGAAGGGCCTCACTTTTCGAAAAGTCGGTACTTATAGAAACAAAATTCATGTACATTATTGTTCTTCTAGGACAAGATGTTACATCTAATATTTTTTATCCTAAGTTTAATTAGATAAAACATTGTTATACTTGTATGTATGTCTGTTACCTCAGTTTTTCAAAATGTAATCCGAAATTATAATTAAAAAACTTACATAAGCCTCTGTTAGTGTGTATTTCAGTTTATTATAGTTTTCGAAGTTCAGAAGCAAATACGTAATTCAAATCACCCGCCATTTTCGGAGTAGACAAAAAACAAACGGAAAACTCTGAAGGTCATATGATTGGCCCGTTGTTCATTTTTTGTGTATGATTGGTCGACGTCCCTTATAATTTATCAGTTGTCAAATTTTGAATCTGTATAGATACGAATCTGTTAATGATTAGGTTTCCATTAATTGTGGAAAATCAAATTATAGGATTTTTCAGATATTTTAACGTCGCCGATGACTTGAGTCTGTATGTACGTACTTGCCATTTTATTCTAGAGAATAGAGAGAAGTATTTTGAGATAGCTTGAGTTAATGAACTCAAAGTAGGTCAATGGAAAAGTCTTCCACATAATGAATTGTGCAATTTGTAGCGCACAAAACTAGGTATATGAAAAATAAAAATATGAATGCCCAGGAACACAGATGTTCCATATACCTACTATAATTAGCTACATACATTAATATGCATCAGGTAAAATCTAGGAAAATTCACACAGGGGAGAAGAAATCACTGTCAAACAAGCTGGAGAGTCTGGAGACGTTCCTGCATTAATTAACTGTAGATGAAAGATCAACTATAACAGCCGTTAAAGAAGGAAATAGGTCCAATGACTGCAATGTGAATATCTTACCAATTTTTCTCTTCTTTTGGGCACAACAAACAAATTACGAAAGGCACCTAACACAAAAATACAAATGTCCTTGAATTGGACCTTCTGCCAAACAAAAATATTTCCTGGCGGCTCACGTGATCGGATTATCGAATAATGACTGGCGTATTATGAGCGTGCCCTGCGCGTGATAAATGCGCGGCAGTGATTACAAAATGCCGTCAGAGTCCAAACCTTTGTTGACAGCTCAGACAGAAAAGCCAAATCATTACTCGTAAGTGTATTTTTAGTGTGTGATTCTTGTTGTGACGTATTTAAAAATTAATGGGGTGCAGTTTCTAGTGTTTTCTAAACGGAGTGTCACGTTATTTTGTAGATATTTGAAGGAATTTCGTGTCGAGCAATGCCCGCTCTTCTTACAACACAAATGTACACAGCATCGACCATTCACCTGTTTTCATTGGCATTTTATGAATCAAAGACGACGTAGGCCCGTACGCCGTCGAGATGGAACCTTTAATTATAGTGCAGATAATTATTGTACAAAATACGATGAAACAACTGGGATTTGCCCCGATGGAGACGAGTAAGTGCCTTTTTTGGTTAACTTCATCTGTCAACGTATGTTGTGGGTGTGACAGATTTGAGGCGCAATTTGTTGAAATTTATATATTTAATCAAAAACAGCCTATTTGCACGTATGCCTGACCAGTAGAATACATTTAAACATGTTGCCTACTTTTACAATTGTCGAACAACCTTCCAAAACGGGATTTGGCAGCTAAAGGCGCCAGTGAGATAACTCGCCCACAACAAACAAATATCACGAACCTACCTCAACAATGTAAAACGTAAACTTTACGTTCCTTAAGATTGCATAATTTCTTTAAACTCATTGTCTTTTATAGACGTTAGGGTTGAATAGAACAATGTTAACTTGTTTATTGATGTAAAGAACTGAATATATTTGAAATATTTGTCATTAAACTTAGTCTTTTTTGGGATGCATGTAAACAAAGGAATACTTAATGCCATAGTCAATGACATACCAAATGGTTTGAGAATTGAAGATATGAAAGCATTAAGGAGGAAATATTTGAATACTCAAATGTAATTATCACAATATTCGCTAAGGTGACTCTTATGGCCTACAAACAATCTTGTGCCTAATAGGATTTGGTAGGTCACTCTATGCAATTTCATCATGGTATTCTGCACAGTCTGTCAATATACCCATAATCTCATTGTTATTCAAAGGTTGTGATCAAGTCATGGTTTTAAATCACTTGTCAAAAAGTAAAGATATCAGATATCACAGATGTACAAAAAAAACAATATTGGCCATCTCCTGTACTACAAACTGCAAATGCTGTCATCCAAGAGCGTGCAAGTGAATGTTAACCCTCAAGTGGCGTCGTGGGGTCTGGTGTACCCCCAGAACTTTTTAACTCCATGTAAAACTTGCAAATTCAGCATTCAAGCCTGGCCGCGCCATCTACCTTCAAGTTAGTGCACTCATAAGCCACGCCGGCGCGCACGTCAACTTTGCTTTAGTATTGCTCTGGACAGCGAGCGGTAAAGTTCATTTGGGGTCTGTGTGGCACCACGACGCTAATAGTGTATTATTTTTAAAATGGCGGGTTCTTCCAAAAGCGTGCGTTTTGGGGACTCTAAGTTTGAGGAAACTCTACGACAGTGGTATGAGGAACTTGAAAGTGAGTGTAGTGACTATGAGGACTACAAAGACGAAGATTTTTCCCCAGAGAGTGACCATAACTCTGATTCTGAGATGGAAGATCAGGGGGACAATGCTGAACATCAGAAAAGTCATTCTAATGGTGAAGAAGAAGAGGAGATGGAAACGACGAACGGAACGTTTTATTTTGGTAAAAATCGATACAAGTGGTCTGCTGTTCCGGCCAACCCAAATTTAAATATCAGAACAAAAAAACACAATCTGGTGAAAGTTCTTCCGGGGCTGAAAGGACCTGCAAAATGTGGTGATGTCGCTGATCCGTTAAAAATATGGAGCTATCTTTTCACAGAAGACATGGAAAATGAAATAATTCTGCGGACAAATGAAAAGATATTGATATTCCAAGATAAATTTAGTAACGCTGATCGAACGGAACTGAGAGAACTAACAAAGGAAGAATTTAGAGCGTTTCTCGCTATATTGTATTACGCTGCAGTTTTCAAGTCAAATGATGAAGACTTTCAAGAAATGTTTGCAACAGATGGAACGGGACGAGACATATTCAGGTCCATTATGTCATTGAAAAGAGTATATGTGTTGCTCGCATGTCTAAGGTTTATTGACTAAGCAGTGTAAATGAATATTTTTAGACTTATCCAATTGCTTTTGTTTTAGGTTTGACAATGCAGATGATAGAGAAGCACGTAAAGCTTATGATCGAACTGCGGCAGTCTCTTGGATATTTGAGCGTTTTGTGAAAAATTGCCAAGACTGCTATTCGATAGGAGAATTGTGTTGTATTGACGAAATGCTGATAGGATTTCGCGGCAGATGTAGATTCCGCATGTACATACCTAATAAACCTCGGAAATATGGACTAAAAATTATGGCCTTAACAGACGCACGGACCCACTATTTCTATAATGGTTATATTTACAGTGGTAAGGATAGTGATGGTGTTTCTCTAACGAATGAGGAGAGACGTTTCATGAAACCAACACAATCTGTGTTGAGACTGTGTCGTCCGATTGCTAATTCAAACCGAAATGTCACAGCAGACAATTGGTTTTCATCCATAGAAGTCATGAATGAATTAAAAAAAAGAGGACTCACCTATGTTGGCACGCTTAAGCGAAACAAAAAGGAGATACCTGTGCAGTTCCTTCCAAATCGGAGAAGAACTGAAGGATCTTCCATTTATGGTTTTACAAACGACTTCACTATCGTCTCCTACGTCCCAAAAAAAGGGAAGGCAGTTGTGCTAATATCATCAATGCACCACACCGAATGTGAGGACAAAGAATCTGGTAAACCCGAAATAATTTCCTTCTATAATCAAACAAAAGGCGGTGTGGATGCACTAGATCAAAAATGTACCACATACTCTACAAATCGGCGAACTAGGCGATGGCCAATGACTATTATTTTCACAATATTGAATATTGCGGGTGTCAATGCACACATTTTACATGGATGTTATAAAAACAACCAAGCGCTAGAGAGAAAAGCCTTTTACAAAATTCTTGCAAGACAACTTGCAGAACCATATCTCAATGTAAGATTATACAATTTTCGATTACCTAGGGAGCTTCGTATAGGTATCAGCAGAGTACTAAACAAGGCTTTACCTCAAGAAGAGAGGGGAGAATTAAGCAATCAGGGCCAGAAACGAAAGAGATGTGGTATTTGTGATCGGAAGAATGACAAAAAAACAAAAATGTCGTGTAGCAAATGTTCTCGACCCATGTGCGGCGACTGCAGGGCCTATGTTTGCAAGAATTGTATTTAGAAATATGTAAGTTGTAAATAGTCCACAGTTTTGTTGAAAATAATATATTTTAGTTAAAAAGTTTATTTGTTTTAGTTGTCTGTTCTGTATATAAAACGAAAAAATCAATATAAAAATAATCATTCAATTTTTATATTTTTTCTGTAAAATCTTATGTTCTTGTGTCAAAAACCCATGAAAAATACATTGTTACACTTTTTAGCATTTTTCACTATTAATAAAAATAAATAATGGGCTTGCATGATTTTATTGCAGCTTAAATGATCACACATTGAAACAAAATAAGAACATAACATATCCTTTTTTATTTTCAAAAAAAAAAATGACCAAAAAAATGGGGTCCAGTAGACCCCAGGACGCAGTTAACGATAGAATAAATCACGACACCAGTTGAGGGTTAAACTATAACACTGGTTTCTTGGAATTTTCTGATTAGGACACTGGCATCTCATAAATTCATAAGTTGGATATACTGTCTCATTTCATAGTTCATTTATTCAAGAACCAGAATTTTTTTACTCTCATTTACATTATAATATCTATATTATTTTTGTTTGTGTAGTTATGCGTTTGTATTTTTTTTATTCTCATATGGACCCAAGCACAAGTTCAAACTTCTTTGGGTATTGTATGTTTATTGTAACATAAGATAATGATTTTGTGTATCTACATTATTCTAATAAACATTATTATTATTGCACAGTTCTTTAAAGGTATATCATCGGACATCTGACAATACCTGCTATATGCAAGAACCGTAATTTTACAGGGGACGAAAAAACCTTATCAATTTTATAGTAGTGGCCTTACAACTTAGGTCACAAAAAATAAATGACATTTACACATATGCATTTTTATCTAAATGAAGCTCTAATTGACAAAATTAATGCAGATAGGTGATATTTCTGCTAACTTTCTTGGCAGTTAGCAGATATTGTACTATGATGCATAGATGATGTGTTAGAAAAACTGTTTTTCATTATATTAAATTAAATACTTTTACAAATCAAAAACATAATGGCATGTATTCTCAGTTACACCTTAAAATGAAAGTTTAGGTACTTTCCTTATCATCCAGCAAATTGTCATAAAACATGTGACAGTCCTCAGATATCAAAGTTAAGACGAGCATTTGCCATACTGTTATTTCTGTTTTGGTAGGTGCATCCGCATGAGTAAATAATAGGAATATTACTCTCCCTCTAACAATGACTTTCCAAATAGTCTATTAAACAGGAAACAAAAGTGGAGGCCTGTAGATGCAGAAAAATGTGCATATACCTCAAATTCAACAAAAATGTCAGATGGCAGGTATTGTCAGATGTCTGGCGATATATTAGTAGTAGTGGTGAGGAGGCAAAGCCTGGTAATGACACCTTTGATCCTTTTTGCTGATATCATACCAACCCTGTACTACTTCACATGCTTATCTACTGGTAACCGACTATTGAATAAACTAGATTTGACAAAGTGATGTACCTATTTGAACTTCCATGATCTTCCATGTTTAGGGTGGCATACTAAGAGTATGAGGTACTCTATCTGGAAATATATCCATCATAGGAGCTGCAAAAAAAGTTCTTGCTAAAACAGCCAATAGAAAAACCTGGAAAAAAGTGATGTTTCTGTAAATTATGCTTATTAACCTAACAAAACTATACTTGATCTTTAAAGTCGAGGATAATGTGAACTTTTTTGATTGACAATGTTTGCTGTATCTCTAAAAATAAAGTTGTGGGGTATTCAAAGGTTTCTGGAATAACCACCCTGATCTTCAAAATGGCTGAGCCGATTCCAACAATCTTGGTCTAGTTGAAAAGAGCTATTCTTGGGCTACAAATGTTATTATATTTGAATATTTTTAGTTTCACATGCAGCTGCTAGAGGGTTTTTCTCAGCATTTTGTTATAATTGGCTCAGCTGTTTTGAAGATACTGGGTGTTTTTTAAGGGACCCTTAAATACCCCCCACCATTTTATTTTTAGAGACAGCAAAATTTGTCAAACAAATAGGTTTAGATTATCCTCAAATTTAACGACCACATATTTTTTGTTGGAGTAATATAGCGGAATTCACACAACTGTTTTTGCCGCAAGCCTCTATGATGGATAGGTTCCTAGATACACTACCTCACATTCTTGGCCGACCTGTATATATGTAGACAAACACAACATCAATGACTGTGAAACTTTTGTGGTTGGGATTCGCACCCGTAAGCCTTCAAGTTGATGTGCTAGCAGCCTAATAAGCTAACACACCTCACTGTCCAGACTCCTTTTTTAGTCATGGCATATAATAAAGTACATAGCTAATTTAATAGCTTTTTAATATAATAAAATAGGGGTTTTACCTTAGATATAGAAAGATATTTTAATATTGATAACACTAAGAGTTGTACCAATAAGATCAACCTGTTCTCTCTAATTAACTCTTACAATATTTATCAAAAAATTGCTTTTTACATAAGAGTTACTCCTAATTTCAGCTCTGGTATATACAATATTCTATCAAACTCTAAACATTCAAGAGCAGAAGTTTTGCATACACAAATATCTGACTATACTGCACAAAAGTTAATTATACAATCTACATTTGAGCAAACAAATAAAATAATACTTACTATTAATATTTTTATTTATTATTATTATAAAATAATGTTTACTATTAATAATCAGCAATGCTTTCTGAATGATTTAGGTAATAGTACCTGGTCTGAAGTATATAATATATTTCCACTAACAAGAAGGGTAAAAACATGTACAGACATAGAAGTAACCTGGTTTAAGATAGAATTAGATATTTTATATAAGTACAGTTAGTTTGGTAGGTGCCAGTCGTAAATATCAGTATAATTTAAAAAGAAAAGAATACAATATGAAGCTCATAAATTAAAAAAAAAAGAGAGTACAACAACAAAATACTAATGTCTGTCAATAAGAGCAAAACAGTATGGCAAAATAATAAACGAAATAAATGTATCAGGCAATTTGCAGCGGCAGATAGAGTAGGAGCTTGATTCAGTATCAGCTTCCAGGAGTCTGGAATACCTGGTTAGGAATTGGTCAGGATTTGCTAACATTGATAGCTTGAACAGTTTTTTTTAACATTTATTAGAAGCAAACTCGAATATGCAGCACTAATCTGGGCGCCAATCTATGAAAACTCAATATGTCTAGTTGAATCGGTACAGCACAGAGCTCTGAAATACTTTTTTTTTTTAAATGCAACGGGTTTCATCCTCAAAAAGGTAACAACAATAATGTCTTACTAGATTTGTTCCATACCGATTCATTGCTATTAAGACAAGATATTTCTGCTCTGAATTTTCTGCATAAGATAGTAAATGCAAAAATAGATTGTCCTGCATTGCTTAGACTGTTAGGCTAATTAATTTTAATATACCTGAGTTAGGAAGTCGCCATCACATCACATTTTATTGTAGTTTAGGTCGCACGAATATGTCGCAAAAATCACCCATTAATAAAATGTGTAAAATTTATAACACTATATGTGATAAATGTGACTTGTTCTATGATAATGTCAAATTAATATTAGAATGCTATACAGAAAAATATCGTGATATGCTAGGTAGGCTTAATGCACAGCATGTTTATGTTAAACATTAACTTTTTAAGAATTCCCTGTAATTGGGTTACACCTGTTGGGAATAAACATATTATTATTATTATTATTTGGATCTCACAGCAGATAAATTCCACAAATTCTTGATAGAATCAACTGAGAACTCGCAACAACAATACAAGTAAGGTAGGGTTGTTAACTATATTTATCCTAAGCATAGATTAGTGTTATTTGAAAAAGGTCCTCTTTACAATAAATTGTCTAAAACTTTTGATCATTTACCAGCAGTTGTGAAAATGATTGTAACACTAAGTGCATTTGAATAACATTATACAAGATATTAATTAATCAAGAATCACATACAATTGATGACTTTGTCAATACAAATTTTATTGTTACTTTTGTTTAGTTAATGCTATTTGTATCACAAGTGGCTCTCAGCTTTTAAATAGCATTTGTATTTGCAAATAGAGAATATTGTTACTTTTGCTGAAAATTAAGGGTTTTATTATATGTGAATTATGTTAATAAATATTAACAATATTATTATAAAATCAATAACTATTAATTCAAATATGTTTGAAATTAGAATTTCTTCAAGTAATTTTCAACACTCTAAAACAAATCCATTAACAGTTTGTTTTTCATAGACCTATATAACTTATAATTTACACTGTTTTGATGTCTCTAATATGTGAACATATAATATGTCTTAGGGGAAAGACATGTTGAATAATATTGATCAATATTTTAATGTTTAATGACTCATCTGTATCAAAATGTCTCAATGGCTTCTACATCTCGCGTCATGTGATTATTGTCATCAAATAATAGCAAATACATTTTTATGCCTCTTGCACTTTTGGTATACTGAAAATAAGCTCGATTTTCGAATTAATGCCATGTGGTATATTTTTATATTGGAAAATACTTCTTTTTCCAAAAGGTATCATAGACACACAAGAAGTGCTAGTTATAACAATCGTGTGTTTTACATTATTCTAAAAATTTCCCAAATACAAAGTCATATAGGTACAAATACAGATTTGAAATAATGGTATACTTTTAAATGCAAATATGTTTGTTTTTCAAAATATATATAGACACACAAAAATGTGTATCATTTTATTGAGAATCTCAAATTTATGACGGACTAATGGCGTAGTTGAAAATCTCCAAAATACTCGAGTCAGAATTAACAATTAAAGACACTGTCTATAAGGAAAGATTCAAGCAGCAGCATAACAACTGCTGTATCAGTCATGTGGGTCCCCAGCTTACAACTTGAACAAGCTTTTAGGCCATATGTCGAACTATAAGTTCTATAATAATAATAATAATCTTTATTGATCATAGAAAAAATACACAAGTATTCATAGACATGTCAGTAATGAAAAAAGTGCAGCATTGTAGACATGAAAGTACACTAACTATAATAAACTCAATATACAAAAAGAAACTAATATGATTTTACAAAGTCGAGCAAGGTGTCAAGAACATTATAAAATTATCCATTCAATTTACTCAAGAAGGCCTGCCTGTCCCGTGCCAAAGCATAATATTTCTCAAAACTGTAAATACAGGCTCTAGTTAATACAGATTTCAAATTACATTTAAAATGTGCTCAGCTGAAGCGATCTCATCTCATTTGTTGTTGGTTCTAGCCAATCTGCTTGTAGGAAGAACCAGATTATTGCAATGTCTTGTGTTGTATGAGTGGAAATCTGCTCATATAAAAAAGTCTGAAATATTTTTTCTAACATATATATTAATTTTTCATAGATAATTAGGCCATACAAAGTTATTATATTCAATGATCTAAAGCAAGGCCTACATGATTCATGTTGCTTTAAATTAGCAATGCACCTTATTGCATATTTCTGAACACTTTTTCAATATGTATATTAGCTGCAGAGCTCCAAACTAAAAGTCTATAACGTAGAATAAAATCAAAAAGAGAATAATTAGCTGTAAGTGCAGCTATTTCATTGACGGTATATTTGATTTGCCTTATATCATAAACTGCCCTATTCAATTTATTGCAAAAAATGTTTACATGGTCATTATACAACAGACTAGTGACCAACACAACATCCTGAAATTTAGTTTTAGTCGTTTCCGCAACCGTACTGACTGGTTTAGTTTCAAACAAAGAGTTTCAGTTTTTACTTCAATCAGAACAAGCTGGTTTGTGACAAGCCACACCTTAGCCCGAATGCTAAATCCTTAGATCATGTGGCTAGGTGGCAATGGCATGCTTCTCATTTTTTACCCTCCAGATTACAAGTGTAACAGGTAGCTTTCCGAAATTAAAAGTAATTAAATTATATTAGTTGTTCCACATCACAATTATGGCTAGTAGTAGTAAAAAAATTGGCAAAAGATAGTCAAGTAAGATTACTCATGTACAAATTGAAAATCCTTGACACACAAATTTTGTTTATTATTTTTATAAAATATGTAAGTCATGTAACGGATGAACATTTTCGATATGATGTTTTAGACTGAGCTCTGACCTGAAGCAATCAGTAATGATGGATGCATATTGTCCTAATTATCCAAAATTGTAAAGTTTTCAAAAAAATGTGTGATTTTGCCCAAAAATTTTCATAAGGGTGTAAAGTGTACAAAAACAATATTTGGAAACATCCTTAAACTGTTTTGTTTGTTTTTTGCTCATAATACCATGTATAGGGGTTATTAAAGAATGGAGGGCAAAACTTTTGAATAAGTAAAAATATTGGAAATTTATGTTGGTATTGCAACAAAAACTATGGATTCTTTAATGTGTGTCCTTTGTAAAAACAATTATCACCTAAGCTGGTCTATTAGGATTGGTAACCAAAAGAAAGGCGATGAATTCACATGCTATGGCCACTCAAAGAAGTGAAGTTAAAGTGGTAGGAAAAAATAGTGAAAAATTAGCATTTTCACCTTTCACCAATGGGCTCTTTCACTGTACCAAAACTTGAGGGAAGTCACGGTTCTTGCCATGTCTATGGTTGCTCATTTTATTAGCTAAAAGGAATTTGGCTATAAATATATTCGAAGTTATGATGATGATACTTTGTCTGTTTTGCAGTTGCCCATTTCTCCATAGAACAGCTGGTGATACAGAAAGACGATACCACCTGAGGTATTACAAGACATGCATGTGTGTCCACGATACGGACTCCAGAGGGTATTGCGTTAAGAATGGAATGCACTGTGCGTTCGCGCATGGCAGTCATGATCATCGGCCTCCCGTCTATGATATTAAGGAGATCCAAGCATTGGAAGCAGCAGAAGCTGAGGGCAGCGGATCTTCCAATGGGCCAAATGCATTAGACAAGGAGAGAAATCTTATGAATGAGGATCCAAAGTGGCAAGGTAAGGCTTGGTTATAGGTTTTATAACGATACCCGCCTTTACCCTATTTCACGAGTAGATCGTCACGGTAGAATGACAGCTGATTATCTAGTGATATCTCAAAATTCAGGTAGTTAGACCCGTATTTTGTTTCGTTTTCTTGTACGCTACAGATTCATTTTGCACTTGCTAACAGCGCTTTTATTTAGAAAGGTCAATTTGCATACAAAAAACAAAAGACAACAAACAAGTTTTACTAGATTTACACCCGATTCATTATTGCCAACATCGCAGACTAACACAAAAATGTCACTTGTCGATCAGCTGTTCACCTCAGTAGATGTCAAAGTTCTCGTCAGACAGTTCAAACCAAAAGGATCAATTTATAGCGATGTATCCGCAGCAACTGGATTTTTAGTAGAAATCAGATTTTCATTCCATCCCGTGGTCGACAATCTACAGGATGTCGTCGTCAAGGATGAAAATTGTTGCTCCTTTGAGGAATTCTTTTCTAATTGCCGACGCATGCTTGTGATTCAAAGGACACACTTCTATTAAAAACTGCTTAAAATTCTGGAACCTGTTAAGTGCAAACACAGTTCAACTAAGATTATATTAAGAATTTGATCTGTCGAACTCATACTCCTTTAAATCAAAACACTAAAAAGTTTTTATATCAATTGATACTACCTGTATCGAATTCGAGTTAATTTGATTTTGAAATAAGCTGATTACATGTGATGGCACCACTCGAAAAAAGAGCTCTCAGATTAAGTTTCTGCTAGATGCATCATAATTTTACGAGTTCTAGCTGTTAATTGAAAAATATCTTTCAGCAGGGTCACAGCTCAGAACTGCACCTAGAATCTCAGATGAGTTGTATTCCATGCATATTAGCAAAATAAGAAATTTCACATGATAGTTTTACAGACCTGATAATCGTGCCTACATTATTTCCTATATTACTTGGGTAATGCAATACATTGATTATTGATCGACCAGCCAAAGATTGCTAGGGACGAAAGGGGGAAATGCGATGAAAAAACCTTACCATTAGACGATTTTATATGGAGTCATAGGCGGAGATCGGAGAGACTTGAATTATTAATTGAATTTATATTTTATTACAACTGGTAGTATTAATATTTTTTTGCGATTCATAATGACGTGATACCAAACATACATTATAAGAAATAAATATACACAAACACTGAATATTGAGAACAAAATAAATATATTTTTTAGGCAACAAGTAATATTCCTATGTACGCATTATGATTGAACAGCAAAACAAATTATGCATTCTTCTAAAATAGAATACAACAAGTCAAAAATATCTGACTGAATAGAAAAATATAGGAAAACAAAAAGTAATTTCTTGATGAAATAACCCATAAACAACACATAGAATTAGACTTTCTACTGAGATACTAAAAGCCACAAACCAATAGTATAATAAATGAATATCTAAAAATTCTAAAAGGTAGCCAATCTAGTATAGTTTCAATCCTGATTAGAGTCATGATCACTGTCTGAGGAACTGTCATTGCTATCACTTTCACCTCCTATGTTGATTATTATTTCTTCCTGTATTTCTTGAATGAGACTGTCTTTTTCCCAATATTCATCTTCAATTTTTATAACATGTCCAATAACCTTTTGCCAGTCACTGGCACTTACTGAAGCGATGGCCTTATTAGAAATTTCATCTAGTTTTTTTATAGTAAATTCGCCGCTTGTATTATGGCTTCTAATGAAAAATTTTACTTGTGCCCAAATCATCTCTATGGGATTAAACTGACACATATAGGGTGGCGTTCGAAGTGGGGTGTGTCCGAAACTTCTTATTAAATTATCTATCTTATAATTTTTCTCATCAGATGGTGGCCTATGTAGACAAGCTATTTCATAAAGCTCCATTTTTTTAGCATTAGGATCATGCTCTATACCTTTTTTGCTCAACCACGTGATGATGTCTCTTTTTAGAGAAGATCTAGTTGGAGGCTTGTCTTCCAAAGCTGAATGGTAAGGTGCATTATCCATTATTATAATACTATTAGGAGGAATGTTAGGAAATAGTTTTTCAGTAAGCCACTTCGTGAAATTTTCTTGGTTCATTTGACCGTGATAATCACCAGTGGCACAGCCAGCCTTGAAAATGAGACAGGCTCCAGGAACAAAACCATCTTGCGAACCCGCATGAACAATTATAAGTCGTCCTGGAAATGAATAAATAGCCTCATTTTAGTGTTATTTTAAGTTTGCCAACACCTTTTTGAATCACTATGTATAAAAAACATATTTTTGAGAAAAAAATACTTGCAAGGGATTATGTATTCAATTAGACAAATTAAATGAGCACTTATTAAGAATATTCCAAAATTGAGAAAAATGTATAATAAGCAAAATCGAGGTGAAAGAAACTTTATTACCTGTAGAACTTATATTGCTCAGGACACCCATAATTTCTTCGCTTTGCCAGCATTTCTTGAAAGTGAGGTCATTATCAACCCAAGTTTCGTCCAAATAAATAATATGCCTTCCTTCTTCCCGGAACTTTTTAATAGACCTAAGATACTTGTATCGCCAATGTAAAATACTGGGTCTTTCCATTAGTAATTTCCTTTTGTTGTGGCATTTACGCCAGTAAAATCCTTTTGCTTTTAAAAGCAGCCTCAACGATTCTTTACCAAATGGAAATTCCATTTCTTCCTTCAGTTTGATTAGAAGTTTACTACAAGTAGGTACCACTTTAAAATCACAGTAAAATTTTTCTATCATTCTCCGAATAATGGAAAAATCGACTCCATCAATTTTTTGGATCACAGAAGGGCGTGATCTCTTTTTTCCGGGAGAAGCTAAAGGCTGTGTGGAGGTTGCATTTTGCCTGTCTTTATCTTCTTTTCTAATTTTACTTATAGTTCGTTCACTAACACCCGTATAATATGCCGCCCTTGCATTTCTAGCTACCAGTGGATAAACGAAAGTATTGTTAGCCGCTTCTGCATCGCAAGCACGTATCACGTTTGCTATTATTTCCCTTGCCTGGCTGTGAATAACTTTCCCATGCTTGAATTCCATTATCACCACTAAACAGTAAATTATATTTTCAAAGTATTTGCCAACTGCCTACGCCTATGGGAGTAGGTTTATAAATGACCGTGCCATCGGCACGTTATTCTAGTTTCAGATAAGATAAGAGTTTTGGACCAATCAGCGACCGGATGTTTACCTGCGGCCTGGGTTTTCCAGCTACATTGCCAAATTCAGCGGAACAATTCTATATCTTAAATATGTTAATATGTATGGACCGCATTTTATGTAGAACATCTGACAACTTCGCAATTTTTTGTCCGCATTCTTTCGGCTTGCAATCTTTCGCTGGTCCAACAATAGATCCTATTGTGTTTGAACTGATTATCCCTTTGATTTTGATAGTAGGACTTATGTAACCAATTTTATTTCAGATACAAATTATGTCTTAGCTAATTATAAAACCGAACCTTGTAAAAGGCCGCCAAGATTATGTAGACAAGGATATGCATGTCCTCAATATCACAATAGCAAAGATAAAAGACGAAGCCCTCGGAAATTCAAATATAGGTAAAACATACTTTTAAAAACTATTTTTTAATATAAATAGTACATGGAGGACAGTGATAAAGTTCATTTTGATTTCTACCGCGGCGCCAAACGAGAGCCTAATTTCTTTCCCTGTTCTTTCATTATTTTGAATTAGTAGTAGTATAACGATTGAGAAGCAGAAGTAACAAAGGGGCTAAGTGCCAGTTTACCGAAAAATTAGAGCAAAGTGCCAGGACTTAAAAATTCCTTACAAATCGGACAGATAGGTGGCGCTCTCTATAAGTGCTTGGTCATTTTCACATGAAAGAAGTCAAGTGCCATAGTACGCATGTTTGTGTTCATTTTGTCGAAGGTCGAATTGGACGTACACCATCGAAAAGCAGAAGCAGCTACCATGCTCAGGAAAAGGGACATTGCATCGTCGCAAGTGCCAGGAAGCACCACGAGTGTGTTTTCAGTGGATTTAGAACAAGTCATGCTCGTGCCTACTTTGACCCACTCTGACATGTTCTACTTGAGCCAACTTTCATGCTATAACTTAGGAGTCAGCTTTGGGGATAACAAGCATTCATACATGTGTTGCTGGCATGGAGTGGCAGGATGTGGCGGCAACGAAATTACCTTTTGCTTATTACACGTCCTAAATATGGGCATTACAGGAAAAAGGAATGTTAGTGTTTGGAGCGACAACTGTACATCCCAAAATAAAAACAGAATGACTGTGTTTGTTTACGTGTTTTTGGTGAGTTTTGAACTCTTTGACACTATTGAACATAGGTATCTTGTCAGTGGTCATAGCTTCCTTCAGTGTGACAGGGAATTCGCCTTGATTGAGAAAAGAAAGCGCAAGTGCGCTCCAATGGTACTTACATCATGTAATACTGTCGAGTACACACACAGGACGATTTGAAATATTAGATATGACACTGAAACAATTTTTTGAAGCACAAGCGGCAGGCGACAAACTCTTAAATCTGAAACAAGTGAATATAGCAAAGTTGTACGTTTGAAAGTTGACTCTCAACAACCTGGTTTTTTGTTAACTGTTGAATCTTTCTCTGAAGTAGCACCTTGGAAAGCAAGTCCGATACTTGAAAGAGGAAAAAATAATGGAAGATCTAAAAAACATCTCAATTAACCAGCGACCAGACATAAATAAGGTCGTGACAACAAGACAAAATACAATATCCATGATTTCTTATGTACACGACTATAAACACCAAGAATTCTACGCTAGATTAACCAAATAATATACTGGCACTTAGCCTGTTTCGAAGTTATTTTTTTTTCAAGTTTTCATTCTTTTCTGTTGTTTTTGTAGTAGCTTATTTAGGCGTAAGGTACACATGTTAGATAATTATTTGAAAATAAAGTTTTTTGTTTTGGTATGTGAAGATTTTTTTCAAATTTCTCTGTTTAACAATATTGGCACTTAGCCCATTTGTTACGTTTGCTTCTAGATCTTAGTGGCTATGTGTAACCTCACATGGAAACAACCTCGCCATAAGCATCGTCATTTTTGCAGAGTGATCGTATATTACCGTGATTCGACTATTTTGCACTACATCTCTGAAACAAAGCGACAAAAGGGTTTCAAATGTGACAAGGAAATGTTAACGTTTATGTGATTCCGTGTTTGTTTGTCTTCGATCCGTGAAATCTACAGCCGACCTTGCTTTTTGGCAATTTAGAAATCTTGAAACATTTTTGTGCATGGATACTGACACTTTCTGACTACTTTCTTAATTAGTGCAAAATACTCGTCGCATGGTGACACACGAAAAATGAAAGATATTACGAATGATACCGATCAGTGGCGTCAATTTTTTTATTAAGAGGCTTTATTTGACTTTGTAAAGGCCCAACCTGATAGAAGGATCTTCATTGATCGCATACGCAAAAAATGTCAGTTTCTATTTTTTCTTGTTTTTTTTTTATAAAACTGGTAATATGAATTTCCAGATCAACACCCTGTCCAAATGTAAAGCATGGCGAAGAGTGGGGTGAACCTGGTAACTGTGATGCTGGTGATATGTGCTCCTATTGCCACACTAGGACAGAGCAACAATTTCACCCTGAAATATATAAAAGTACAAAATGCAATGACGTACAACAGTCTGGTTATTGTCCTAGGGGTGTTTTTTGTGCGTTCGCGCATGTAGAACGTAAGTATTTTCATAAAATATGGCTTTTAGAAGGAAATTTAATTTTTGTGTAGATGTAAAAACATGAGAATTTTATGTTGCAGAAGAATTAGGTGTTGCAAGAGATACAGGAGACACAGGCACAAATCTAGCTGAAATATTATCCAATGCTCTTCCTCAGACTAGTTCAGATATTAAATTGAAAGAAAAAAGCAGTGATAGTTCGGTAGGTAATTTCAACGTTTCTTACATGCAGCATTTTTTCAACTGGTATAAATTATCAGCTATTCACACTTTTAAATACTTTAGGCAGATCGAGCTTCAAACTAGGATTTACATTATGTTGCACTGTTTAATTTTATATAAAAATAGTGATATTTGTTTTGCTTTCCAATATTTTTTTATACAGGATGTTTTCAATAATATTTGATATTTTTAGAACGGGTGTAGTGAAGTTAGTGAATCATCATCAACTTCATCAGAATTAGGGAATTCGGTAAATAATTTGAATAGCAATCTATTGAATGTCAATACGACACCACTCAATTCGAATAAAGCTCCCGGATCTCAGCTATCGCATAAACCGATTCCTTTTCAAAGAAGACCGACGATAGGTTTAGAGTTGACGAATAAATTGGTAGCTATTGATAAAGATCCTACGTTAGGTAAGTTTTAGATCTCTTATTTTGTTTGTCATTATTCAATATTTTTTATTTACAAACTTAGCAATTATAGTCTAATCATATTGTACGAAAATACCCCTGGTATTCAATCGAAAGTTGACAGGAACGAAAAAACTCTTCAAATAAGATTTTTAGGTATTCATGCGACCCACCGAAGGAGACCACTCGTAAAAAGATCCGACTAATAGTAAAAAAGTTATGGCCGAAAACCGAGGCAAGATGCAGGTTTTAACGCTTGTTGGTAATGCGGCGATAGTTTAAAGCACACATTTCAAATTCTCCAAATTCATAGGCCTCATACTTCTGCTGCAACATATTTTTTTACGCCTGCCCAAATGAGCTCAATCAGATTGAGTTCACAATGGTAAGGAGGCAGTCGTAAAACAGTTATATTTTGTTTTTTTGGCCATTTCAGCACTTATGTTCAGGTTATATTTATTTTTATGCGTCTTGACAATTTGTAAAAATTCTGCCTTAACCGTTGTATCATCATAATCAATCTGTTTATTTTTAAGCCATCCTTGAATTTGTGATTTTTTTGTTGACGAATGTTTCTTTAATTTTCTCTTGTGGTATGAAGCATTATCTAATACTATAAACGAATTATCTTCAAGTTTCGGTAAAGTATTTGATAACCAATTTTCCAACGAGGCTCCATCCATTTCTTCATTGTAGTCTCTTTTTTTTTTGTTTTTTTTTTTGGATTCAAATACCTATATAGCATCGGATACAAGTCCATCTTCATTACCGATCTGGCAAATTATCAATCGCTACCCTTTTCCCGAAAATAATTCATTTTGGACACTTAAAAACCGCTCCCATTGTAAGCATTAAAAACCCAGCAAAATTATTACTTGATCTTTTATCTCCATACAGTGTAAGCATGTACAAAAATAAAAAAAATAAAATATAATTTTAGTTGAAATTCTTCGTCTTACAAGTATTAAAAAATATGTAGGTGTCAGCGCAATCATACCAGAAATACGTACGTACGTGTTTTGAATCATTACCTGACGGATTTTTTAATCCAGTGGATAGTCCATTCAAGAAAACTTGCTTTGAAGATTTTATGGAAGAATCCATCTTGGTAGTATATTTTCCTACCTTCCGAAATTCTCTGATTTGTCTTAGATAGTCCGTTCTCCAGATAACTATTTCATCTTTTTTCCAATAAAAGACTGTTTCTTCCCCGCTTTTTGTATTGAAACCCCATTTCTTTTAATAATTTATGGAAGGTAGATCTCTTGAAACTTGGCAAGTCGTTATCCTGGTTAACCAGCTTTAGCACTTTATCCACCGTTGGTGATTCATTATGAAAGAAAAAATTGTGTACAATTCTCATTATGGCGGTTCTGTCGAAGACATTATGGCATCGTTGATTTTTTTTCTTGGCGGATACTTTTTTGGGTCGACCAGTGAATGGTTAGATCTGTACTCCGAACAATTCGGTAAACACTTGCACGACTAACGCCCGAAATACTTGCTACTTTGCAAACAATGTCCTGACCACTTGAATCACTCCTTCCTTGCATTTCGTTTATAAATGTTGAATATTATTTGTTTTTCACTAATGGTGAAATGAAGCCTTTTAGCTCTTTTTCTAGGCGGTGTGCAGCTTATATCAACAACTTCATCAGCTGTATCCGTATCAGACATTTTGAGCTCTACGAAGTTAAACACTGACGAATCTAATAAGCACTCGGTTTTCGGCCATAACTTTTTTACTACTAGTCGGATCTTTTTACGTGTGGTCTCATTCTATAGGTCCCATAAACACCTTAAAATATTATTTGGATAGTTTTTTTGGTTCTCGACAACACTTTCGATTGGATCCCAAAAAACTGGTTGTCTCATTCTTTGTTGTCGAATAAAAAGTTTTCCCACAAAAATTGGTGTACCCATTTTATACGTCCATGTTTTAAATACCCTCTTGAAACAACTTGCATCAATAAAACCAGACATTACAATTATTTCGTGGAAATTTGCTAATATGATTATTCTATCAAGACAATATCATAATAGTTTTAATAAAGGTAACGTAAAATGTACTAACAAAAAAGTCACTGCACGTTTCTTCTTTTTCAGATTCACTAGAGAGAGAACAGAGAAAACAGACGTTATGCTTTGCATACAGCAATTTAGGAACTGGCTCATTTTTTAGTACTGGAAATGATACTGTAGAAAGTGTAGTTGGTAAGTAACATATATTTTCATTCGATTCTTCTAAAAATTTCATTAATTTTCCACTGGCTACTAAAAAATATAGACCTATCTATTTCGGATCTTTGCAGACATGTTGAATGTCCCTCAGTGGAGGCTAGTAAATCTCGGAACATGCTTTCTATCTATTAAGGGTAAAGGTATTCATATGCACTTGGTGATATATCTTCCATGACATAAGAAACATTATTAGGTTATTTTAGCAAAAATTCAATATGGCAACTAGTCGGACGGCTCTGAAGCCGTAACAATTGATAATGACGCATACTTAGTTATTGTATAATTCGAATGTGTCATTGTGAGTTTTCGTGTTGGTGGAGTAATTTGTCATTCGAATTTTCTTTATTTTTGGTCACAGTGATTTTTTTGTATGTGTGAGAAAAATAATAATGATGAGGCACTGCTACATATACCCTATTTCTCGAGTATCCATCACGGTGGAATAACAGTCGATTATCTAGTAATATCTCAAAATTTCCCAAATCGGCACAGGACACAATTCTGACGGATCCGTCAACGCCAGGTAGACAGAGCCGTATTTTTTTGATTTTTTGTACGCTACGGATTCATTTTGTACTTGATAACAGCTCTTTTATTTATGAAAGTTCATTTGCATATAAAAAACAAAACGTCACAAACAAGTTTGACTAGATTTGTACCCGATTCCTTATTGCCATCGTTGTAGACTTGCACAAAAATGGCACTTGCTGATCAGCTGTTCACCTCAGCAGACGTCAAAGTGTAATGGATACTCGGGAAATAGTATATATGTAAAATTATAGCCCATAAGGTAGCAGAACGTTTCGTTTTGTAGGTAGGTATAGGTTACGGTTATGTTTTAGTTTCGGTTCCCTGTGGCGTGGTTGTTATTCCATAACCTCAAGTTGGATGTTTTAATGTTTTTTTACTTCGATTTTTGTACAATATTCACCTTATACATGTAATTTTATTATTTTCTTATTTATCGACAGCATATTATACTCCTTTTTAGTTATATCCAAGTTATGACTATTGTTCATCATTCCTCAAATTAATCAAAACTTCATATTCGATACATAATTTTTGTGCAACATAAGCCCTGTTTGCACAGCTGTCGGCAACCTGTCAGTGATTGTGTCCAAGATCCCGCCACACAAATTACGTCATTCTGCTACGGTATATACACAGAATTTACAAGGCCAGGTCCCAGACATTCTCCCCGACCACTGTACGAACTGATTTTGTACACCTGCAGACCAATACACATAATCATCCAGATGCGGTCTTGCTATACAACCATCTTTCTTCTCAAATATGAAAACTACAGATTACTCACAAAACATATGCAACGATCACAACGATCCTAATGAGCAAACGTGGAATGACTGTTTGCACCCTAAGAACTGCCTAGTCTGCAAGATGGCATTTTATAGGTCATTTTGACGTTTTATAGGTTTTTACATAATATCCGTGCGGGCCGATGTTCAAAAATCCTGCACTGAGTATTGAAAAATGAAATATTCGTACTCCTATGCTGCGCCACTGGATCGCGCTTCGAACATGTGGCCTTGGAAATCGTATGTCCCCCAAAGTCGGCAATTTTCAGGCCTTGTTTACACCCGCACTCCCATCGACATGACTTATTTTGATTTTATGAATGAATCAAGAAGTCTATATTTTTTAGTAGTGGTATTTTTCTTTAGATTACAATAATAGCAAGTATTATATGATAGGACACTTACCATCAACTCCACCTAATTTTCATTCATGTTAGCACTTTATTAGCCGTTTATAAGGTTGAGTCTCGAAAATCTTAAAGGTTACCTTTTGGATGTTTGCATTTATTGATATCTAGCCTAATATGGTACTTTTGTAAATTCTTGTCAACCAACAAAGGTCGTTAAACTTATCGTAAAACAAAAAGTGAACTATAAATAGTGTGTTTCAATATATCGCCGTTGGGTATTTGCAGTTTTTCATAATTAACACGATTCTGATAAAAAAATATGCATATGCTGTGTTCTGTATAGTAATTTTGATGCATTTTAATTAACAATACCAAAATAACATTAAATGGACTCGTGTGATTTATTGAAGGTCACATGTATTTAAATTTTAATATACCAGTAGTAAAATATCTATTACTTACGCTCTCTGAAACCGTACTGCTATGTGGTTATAAAAAATGTGAGTTTTGTAGTGCCTAAAGGTATGTCTGTATATAGCTGATCTATTTTAAACTACCGTTGTTATTTGTTCTAACAAATATAATATTTAACCAAGATTTACATTAGTATCGTGATAACGTGTTAGTTTCCTTGACATTGTCTGGCTTCTGAGCAACCAGAACAGACAGATTCGAGTAATGTTTATTACTATTATTTAATGGTTTAAACGGTTGTAAGGTGGGTGGGTTATGGAAGGCCACAATGCTGCGACCACTACCCCCCTACCTCCCCCCCCCCCCCCCTAGAGAATTTGGCGATGAAGCAGCTGTGTTTGTTAAGCTGCGGGGTAATCGAGATTTAAATAAGGTTTTCATAAGGTCGTTACAGCTAACATGTTCAGCCAATGCGGCCGAAGCAAAATATATCTACACCCGAATAGTTCTTTTCACCGTTTGTGGCGGTTACGTCAAAATGTATACGAAATTGAACAAATTGAATAATGGTACCATGTGCGTAGCTTAACTTCTCTAAGGGAAATACTACAAGTCAGTATGAAGTGAATGAAAGCTACATTCCTTTTCACAGTTTTAGGAGGTTACATTACAATGTTAGATGAAATAACTATGCATATTGCCTAACTGTACCCAATCTAACTTGTCTAAGAAAAATTGTACGCTGCTCAAATTGATCTTTTACGCAGTTGCTACTCGCTCTTTCACACTCGCATGAATTAGGTGACAGGGGATTTTTGCTTTCTTTCACTTTCTGAAACTCCACCACGCACACGGATTGTCAACATTGTAGTTGTATCTTAAGCATTGCTACGTCTTATATTGAAGATCAATACAATGTAAGTTCGCACGCCTGCAGCATATGCAGATACTGACAAGCATAAACGTGGAAGACTTATACGTTGGCGAAAAAACTTTCAAGGCGGTGAGACTAATCTAAAAAACGTTAGCCTCTGAGCTTACACATACGTCAGCGCATAGAGGCCTATTGCATACGAGGTCTGTAAATTAAGTCATGAGGCTGGCAACGTAGCGTTCCACCTGGCAACACTGCAGGCACAGGGCTTGGAGGGGAGACAGGGGAACATGTGATCCGTCTTCAGTACAAGTTTGAACTCGCTTGAGTCATTTGGTTGTCCGTAACGATTTTTTTGCAACATTTTTTTCTGTTGTGTTCCTAAAATCACATCAATTCCGAGCAATGGTGTACTATCAGGTTTTGCTTCAGACTTGGACAGTGTGACGGAAACTCTTGCTAAGCTTCAGAGCAGGCTTTCGGAGACAGTGTGTTGTCAAGAGCTCAAGGTTTTCGGTGGTTTAAGACATTTTCAGTAGGGAGACCATCGATTGACGAGGAACCACGAAGCGGGATACCTTCAACTTCAAGAACAGATGAAAATATCGACAGAATCCGGGATCTTGTGAGCTCAGATCGTCGGTAGATAATCAGAATGATCGGTGAAGAGTTAAATTTGACTCACCACCGTTCATCAGATTTATACCAGTAAATTGGGAAAGAAAAGGACTTTTTGGATTCGATTACTGGTGACGAGTCTTGGGCGTACATGCATGCTGATTTGTTTTTTCGACATACACGGAATTATCCATAAAGAGTTTCTACCTCAAGGCCAAACGGTCAATCACACTTTTACCGGGAGGTTCTTAAAAAACTTTGAAAAAATAGTGTGAGACCATACATTAAGAACAACTGGGTGTTGCATCACGATAATGCACCTTGTCACACAACAATGACAACAAACGAGGTTTTGGCCAGTAAAAACATGTGGCTCCTCAGTCTCCTTATTCACATGACTTGAGTCCTTGTGACTATTTTCTCTTCCCGAAGTTGAACAATCACCTCAATGGAACTCATTTTGGGGCAGTCGAAACATTCAAACTGCTGAAACCGACCAGCTGAAGGCTACTCCAGTATCGAAATTCCAAGCACAGCTATAAGGAGTGGAGAAACCGTCTCCAGTGCTGTGTGGTGTCAGAAGAAAGTTATTATGAGGGTGACAATTTAAAATTGTAATTATATTTAATAAAAAAAAAAATCGGTATAATTACTTAATTTACAGAATTCGTATGTATGTGTCGGGGAGATGAATGTACAAGTATGAAAGTAATTGCTGTAGTTTTAATGTGACCCACCAAAAACCGTGAAAAGGTATATAGTTCCGAAGTGACAATTATGGCTATCAGATCAATATCCCTGAAATTTTTAGTTAACGTAACAGGGATACCGATCAAGCACGAAAAGGAAGAATGGCCGATAGACCGATAGTACATCGATATATCGGTATCGGTAAATCTCCTATATTGGTCGATCTCTAGTATTAACATCATCTGCCGAACAACGAAGTTAACAAAACGTTTATGATATTTTTATTCAGTATTTCCCAACATTTCCAAAATTATAAGGATATCAATATTATTGGCCAGTCACTATTGAGAATAACCAACTTGGCTGGACATTATTGTCATTAACCGATTAATAATTTGACTACGAGGCTTCTGGTCTTTGCCCGAAAAATAAAACATTTGCCTTTGTCATTTAATAGTAGTAGTAGTAGTAGTAGTAGTGTTAATGGGAGGCGAAGCTTGGCAACTAGGCCACCTTTGACCCTTTCTGCTGGTCCCATAGTATGAATGCTGTACTACTTCACAAGCCATCTACTGGTAGCTGATATAGTAAATCATCTCCAGCGACGCAATGTACTTGTTAGTATTGCAACCACGTGCGTTTGTTATTTAAGCCACGTTATTTTAGTCGCAATGTTTGCTAAGTGATAAGGCTAAGGCTCCTTGAAGCAATTTCATTAAGCTCCGGTTCAGGCGTGACATTCATATATATACATATATATTTTTTTTTCAGGAAACGCATTGGACGAACTGAACTTAGAAGATTCCCTTAATTTGTCTGGTGCGCTGGATAGGGAACTAGACACGGATTCTCCGACTGTATCAAATTCGATATCAGTCGGTTTGGCATCGTCAGCAGGTCTTTTAGGCAGTTCGGCACCCGTTAACATTCCCGGGTCCAGAACTGGATTGGCAGCTGCTGGATACAGCCCAACTAGCAATAGTCCCATGCAGTCATTTCTATCTGCTACTAGGTGTGTATTATACATATTCTAACACTCATGACAATTTTGAAATTAATTCTTTGCAGAAGTCTACCATGGGTTTTAAAATTTGCCACATTATACATTTTTACGCACAGGAAAATAGGCTCGGGAAAAACCGCAACTGTTGAAAAATTGGACCCAACAACTCAGCTGATCGTTTGACATCTGTCATTATAATTATATTGGAACAACAACGGAAGATAATTAGGATACGACCGAAAGTAATTTTTTTGGCTGAAGCCGATGTTTTGTATTTAATACAATCTTGGGCTGAATCCGAATGTTTTGGTAGTAATAGATCAATAAAGTGTTGAAATAACAAACGCCTGCGCCCTTGGTTCTGTTTCTTATAAATAGTAACTCCGATTTTAATGCAAGATTGAGTCGGAATTTTTTAAAATTAGACAAAATGTTGCATCCTCAGAAATGGTAAGACATCTCAGTTAATGTTGAGTAGCATTTTATATTGGCGTATAAAAGAATTCCTGAAATTGTCATTTTTTGCGGCGCATGTACGGTTCTGGTGACAAAAATAATACATTCCTTAATTTAAACACAGCAACACATTCGCAGAACTACTTATTAAAGACCTGGTTCAGTGAAATATTTCCAAAATTATATCGTGCAATTTAAAAAACACCATTCAAATCGTGTTGCTTCTTGACAATGGAAATTAGGTACAGCCGATTTCAGCGATAATTATGCGAATTTTTGACGAAAACAAGTGTACATAAAGTTTGAAGCAAGAAATATTATGAAACTAACAGCACATAGTAAACTTTCTTTTCTGTCTTGTAGGATTGATCATCTGACAAAATATGTACACTGGCATTAAATAGGTGCTAAAATATATTTCAGAGTACCTAATTGGTTTCAACAAAGAATGGACTAATAACCCATATTCGTACAGTCAAAAAATAAACATCCACTACTAACTTAGTAACTGTTTAGAAATAAATGAAAATACAAAGTAAAACCAAGTCTGATATATGGTAAATAAAGAAAACCCTTGGACAAAGTATAGAAAGAATATTTTTATGAAGAAAAAAAGTTAAACGCAAATTAAACAAACAATGTTCAGTATTTTTCTGGAAATCCGTTCGCCTTAATGACTTACATACATCTTCTTGGCATGGAATCTACAAAATTACGACAAAAATCAACTGGAATCTTCCGCCATTCACCTTGTAGAACTTCCCATAAATCATTCTCACTATGAATAATTTTTTGCCGAATTTTTCGCTCTAAGTGCTCCCAAAGGAACTCGATTGGATTGATGTCGGGGGATTGCGAAGGCCATTCCAGTAAATCAACGCTTTTCTCTGAAAACCATTTTTTTTACTAAATGGGATGAATGTTTCGGGTCGTTATCTTGTTGATATCTCCACAAGAGCGGCATTTCTTCTTCGGCATAAGGTAACATAGTAATATGTCGTGGTACATAAAGCGATCCATTTTCCCAGTTATTTTCAGTATCGGGCCCGTTCCAGACCTGGAAAAACACCCCCAGATCATAACACTGTCACCACCATGCTTTACTGTAGGTATTTGTTACTTGATTACTGTAGGTATTTGATACTTGATATCAGTTTTTTCCCGAGAAGTCTTCTTACAAACGATCTTCCATCAGCACCAAATATTTTAAATTTGCTTTCGTACAGCAAAGCACCGTATCCCAGTTTTTAGGTGTCCAATTTAAATGTCTCTGAGCAAACTGAAGACTAGCCTTTCGATTCTTTTTAGACAGTAACGGTTTTTCGACAGCAACTCTTAAAAACAACCCAACTTCACATAGACGTCTTCTCATAGTGCGGGCCGTTATGTCTGTTTTGAAATATTGACGAATTTCTGCATTAATTTGGGCGGATGACTTATGCGGATCAGCTATCGAAATACTTTTAATGCCCTTATGAACATAGGTGGTAGTTTTTCTAAGACGACCTGACTTTGGCCGATTAGTAACGTTACCTAGTAACCGCAACTTTTTTAGAATTTTTGAAACGACACTCTCGCTTAAGCCTAAATTTCTTGCTATAGTACCAGTTGACAATTTTAAGTCGCAACTCTTCCGGCAAATACTTATTCTTGCCCTTTCTTAATAGGGTGATGGTTATAGCAGTGATACAACAAAACTAATCCAGTGATGTTGAATATATAACAATGCTGATATGAGAAAACTTTCCATACATTTGTCCAAGATGTAAACAAAAAAAACGCAAAATATGTGATACTAAGCAGGTATACAAAATGAACGGCACAATTTATTGTTGTATACGAGGCGAGCTGGAAAAATGTGTGAAATAAAAATCTTTCCATACGTGTGTCTATATTATGATAATGTTCCTTAAAAGTGGTGCAATTATTTCTAAATTCACACTACGCAATATTTCCGCAAAATCTGCGCGAGTACATATTTTTTTTGAGACACACACAGACAGCTTTTTTTGACTGAATGCCGAATGTATATTTTTTAATGAATGTGGCGGAAGCTTGGGTCGTACCCCAATAATAATATCCCACATTTTTTCCAGGTTTTCAGCGTCTGATATCGACTTCTTGAATCAATCGACTCAGATGCAGTTGAGTAGCAGCGCCTCGAAAATGAACAACTATCCAGGATTTTTCGATTTTCAAACCCAAAACATCTCACCTAGTTCCAGGAATCACACTAACTTTAGCATGTCTCCTAGTATAAACAGCAATTTGGAGGTTGTAAAGTAAGTACTAATTTCACCTCTGAAATTTAGTTTTTCTTGGGCATTCAAAATATCACACAAATGAATATTAGACAATTCATTATTCTCTTCCGTCTCGTAAACATGATTGTTGATTGTGAGAAAAGCGATAATGTGGCTTTAGATTATCTTTTTACTAGATCACCTTACTAAGTAACTGCGATTCTACACGCCCTGAATAGTCGTTTATTATTATTATTATTATTATTATTGATTATTATTATTATATTGTGATTCTTGTTAGTGTAACACCTCAAACTTATCTTGGGATTTTCGTTCTGGTAGGACAGCATACGAGGCTTGGTCAATAAGTACCCGTGTTCGACGACAGAGGGCATTCCTGAGGGAAGTTGGTGTTATCATCGTGTGCTGCCGTATATAAAATGGTGGCATAACAAATTTCAGACTGATTGAAAAGTTAGTTTGGATTTGGCAGCCATTCGAGTAACATGTGTTTCGTAATTTTCGCAAAGATGGAAAAAGCGGAGTATCGTTCAGTAATTCGCTTTTTGTTTTTGGATGGGAAAAAATGCGAGGAAATAAAAGCAAAGTTGGATGTTGTTTATAGGGACACTTCGCCATCTCTGACCACAGTTAGTGTAGTTGAACGAATTTAAACGTGGGCGAAGATCGGTTTTTGATGCGACCAGGACGCCTGACAGAAGTGGTTACCGAGGAAATCATTCAAAAAGTCCAAGACATGATTCTCGCTGATCGACGAACGAAAGTGCGCGAAGTAGCAGAGGCCGTAGGTGTGTAGACCGGAATGGCAATGAATATTTCACATAAGTTGGAGATGAAAATATTGTCAGCCCAATGGGTGCCGCGATTGCTAACGGTGGTCAACAAGAGGATGAGACTATTACTTCGAAGCAGTGTTTGGAGCAATTTTTTGCGAAATCCGAAGGAGTTTTTGCGTCGGGTTGTGACCGTTGATGAAACCTGGATTCATCATTGTACACCAGAAACTAAGCGACAATAAAAACAATGTATTTCTCCCGGTCAATCTGCTCCTCCAAAGAAGGCGAAGGCGGTCCCATTGGCCGGAAAGCTCATGGCGACGATTTTTTGGGATACGAACGGCGTCATCCTCATGGATTTTTTAGCAAAGGAAGAACGATCACTGGAAAATACTACAGTGAGTCATTGAACCGGCTTCGTCAAAGAATTGAAGGAAACAGGAACTTTGGGAAAAGTGTATCTTTCTAAAAGGGACTATGTTGGATATTTTTTTTTTTTTTTTTGAAAAAATGGTGTCTCCATTTCTAACACGGGTACTTATTGAACCGCCCTCGTGTGCTTGAAATGCCTTTTAGTGACGTTGCGGCTACCGCAGTGACGTTTTCCAAACACAATTGATGTGGTTTTATTTTTTTATACTGAAGTAAGCTTAAACCAGCGCACCGCAGCTGCTATGCGGAGCTTCAAGACGCTTTGTCAATCTGATTTTTCCAAGGTTGTTAGAACTGGGAAAAGCCTCCTGAGGCAGATTGTTCCGCAATCTGTCGCACATTCTCAATTCGCCTACAAAAAGTAATTCAAACATATAGTTCTTTTATATAATAAGAAATAATAAACAGCTTGACCAACGGTTCCATGTGCGTAGCTTAACTTCCCTAAGGAATATTGCACAAGCCGAACCGTAACGCAGCTGTTACTCGCCCTTGGACACACACACACACACACACACACATTAATTGAGCGATAGCGAACCGTTGCTTTGATATTGTGAAAATATGACATTGTAGCTGTATATTCAGGCATTACTATGTTTTATACTGAAGATCAACAGCGGTAACACAAATCGCCTATACTGACAAGAGACAAGGCTTATGCGTTGACGAGAACATTTTTGAGGCAGTGAGTGAGACAACTAAAAAAGTGTCATTGAATTAGTACAAACAAACGTCCTCGCATAGAGGCTGCTTGCATATGTATGTGTGAGGCAAATGGGTGTATGAAAGTAATTCCTGTAGTTTCTCTGTGACCCGCCAAAAACTGAGTGGTTTCATTTAGCTGCCAGACAATCCTTACGTCAGATTGCGATTTTTGCCAAACTTGAACTACATTCTAGATATTAGTGGCACACACCAGCTGCATGTATCGCTTACTCCCAGATCATTAAGGTCACTTTAAGGATTCATCTGATCAAGTAAATAGTCCTTCCATTATTAGCTACTGTTAGAATTGATGCATCAGATATTTATGAACACCTTTGTGGCTAGAATTTTATATGGTTAACATTGTGTCAGTAATCGTGCAAGTGCAAATAATAATCATTTCCATATATTTAATACTTCTATCCATGTGATGGTGCTTTTCATAGTTTCTTATAGCCTATTATTCCTTAAAGCTACTAAACACAGTGCCGGCGGCAATGCCGCCGGGTTTATGCCGAGCGGCAATGCCGTCGGCAATACAAGCCGCCGGCACAAGCCGCCAAGCATCATTCCGGTTGTGACAGTCACATAGAACGCTAGTGAAGTGCATATTTTATGGTTGGTTGGTTAAAATGAAAAAGGAAATCATCAGCACAGCCGCCGCAGTGGTAATTTTTATTTTAAGAAAAAAATACAAAAGGACGAGAAGGTTTTGGTTGCACCCAAGTTTACAAAATAGAAAATGGCGGAACGGTACTGTAATGATAGAAGAGTATAAAAAAGATGATGTGGGGTGTCAGCGTTTGCGAAATAGCATGTTTTTTGGGTTTCTATACATCGTCTGTGCCTGCACCAGATTTGTGCAACTGTTCTAACTTCTTTTTTTCCCGAAAATAAGGAGAGGTTACATTTTTTAACTTTCTCTCTACTTCGCCTTTATCAATGTCAAATACACTTGCAATTATGTTCAATGCGTCCATTCGATTGTTCCTATTCTTATAGTCTGCATTTCTGGGATTCCATATCATTTTCATGAAATTTTTCAATTAAGAGCAGCACAGCTTCGTCGTTCCAATTAAACGACATTTTAATTTGTTTAAACACACAAACCGCACAACACTACCACTCGAATGCCAGGAACGAAGTGACGCCGGCAAGCCGCGTAACCCGCCGGCTTTGTATGCCGCCGGGTGTACGGAGGCTTAGCCGGCGGCTGTGTGTAGCAGCCTTTATGTATGCTGCTGCTTTTTCACTATTTCCAACGCATTGTTGTCGTTGTTAATGTGATTTTAGCTAGACTCCATATTTTATTAATTTTATTATTTTGACAGCTCGGTGCTATTGGGATTTGCCCATAGATAAGTACTAACCATTTCGTTTATACCAAAAGCAGATTACGTGAGGAGCTAACTAACTGCCGGATTCAACTAAGCAACTGGGAGGAACGTCTTCAGCAAGCCAGGACCGCGTGTGATGTTTGGCAGCGCGAAGCTGACGAAGCAAATAGGAAAAGTCAACAATTAGAGGGCCGGTTGAATGACACTTTGACGCAATACAAGAGTCTCAAGCAGGAGTACGAAGCGCTACAAGGTGGACCGCACATCAGGAGCATCACTGAGGTTTCCGAACTGGGCAAGCTGTCATTGGCCGTGCTGAAGAACCTGAAAGCGCAGCTCAAGCAGGACTTAGATGAGATCGAAAAGGTGAGCTGCAAAACAAGTATTCTGATAGGGTGATTGGGAAGGGACTATTCACAAATTACACTCAATTTTGAAGTGCATGGTAAAGGTTACCTTTGAGTGATCTTCACAAACCTCACAACTGTGATATCAAACATTTTTGCTAGCGCAAATTGTCTTCAGTGTCTTGATTCGACCTTGGTCATGCCCAAGGTGATGTTCGGACATCGAATTTGCTCCTCTTTTCAATTACGTTTTGAAAACGAAGGGGTTTAATTTGAAAATATTAACTTGATATTAGAAGCACTTGAAGATTGAAGGCGAGGTCATTATCAAGGTCACCATCATTTTGTCTTCTCGAAAACCTACAACTTTTTTTAATATTTGTGAGGAGATTAAAATGTGATACCGTGTATAGACCACATGATCTCTCTTGACGCTTGATCTTCACAGTCATGAAAATTCCACGTAAACGTTCTTTACAACAGTTGATATTTCCGAATGGATTTTCCAGTGGAGCAGTCATTTAAATACATACTACGAAGCCTGAAGATTGATTTCATTTTATTTAGATGGATTTGCTTTATAGTCCCCGATAGCTAGAAACTTCTTATTGGTATGTCGCTATTCTAATGGTACTTCTTCTATAAAAGGTGCTGTACAGCAAGACCGCCTCGAAATGCATGGTATGCGAGGAGCGCAACCGAACGGTAACGCTGAACTGCAATCACTTCGTACTGTGCGATCAGTGTGCCGGCACACAGAACGAATGCCCATATTGTCAGACGCCCAACACTCTGGTGAATAACATGTGAAGACGAGGAAATTAGGCGAGCCGGACTGACATCCGCATCTAGTTGTCTAGTTACAAATAACGAAACACCGCAACTTTGCTATTCCTGGATGTGTTTGACGAAATTGCGCTTGAAGTTTTCGCAATCATGCTGAGCCCTTTCACTTTACAAGTTTTGGGAGTTTAGGATCTAAGTCACGTTAACAAACTACAGCGAATCATGTTTGTAAAGGGTTTTTCATTAAGTGTGTCTGAAATTTAAAATAAAACGAGTTGTGTGCGACATATGATGGAAAGTTTAATTGCGTATTAAAGTACATTTAGTACCATTACTTTGTAAAAATTACATCATTCAAATGAGCTCCTAGGCTTCGTTTACAGGACTCGATCCGAGAGGTCCAATTTTGTTAAACTCTGGCTGGATCTCACCAATGGTTTGGATGATAATGTTCTCCAATCGGTGAATTGTTGGTTTGCTGCGAAAAACCAGCGGCTTAACGTAACCTCAGAGAAAAAGTCTAAGGGCGTTCACTCGCACGATCTTGGCGGCCATTCCATATCGCCTCTTCTGGACATAACGTCTTCTGGCAACTTGCAACAATGGCAGTGTAATGGCCGACGTGTGACACGTTGCGAGGTCTTGTTGTAACCACATGTCGTTGGTCCTTGTCATCCAATTGAGGTCTTGAAAAGTCAGTTATCATGGCCCGATACCGAGCGCCGTTGACAGTCACCGTCTCGCCATTCTCGTTTCGGAAGATGTACCGTCCAATGACGCCGGCTGACAAAAACCCACCAAACAGTAAGGTTTTCCATATGTAATGGAGACTCTTGGTACTGTTGTCGATTACTGTCTCCCCAAATGCGACAATTTTGTTTATTCACGAAGCCATTTACCAAAAATGTACTTCATCAATAAAAATGATTTTTTGGCCAAAATCTGGATCTGCTCCCAACTGTTTCAGAGCCGAATCACCGAAAGTACTCGTACTACAGGCAGGCCAATTGCTTGTGCAACGACGCGGAATCAAAAGCTTCGGGTTTTCAGATACACTTTCGGCAACAGCAACAATATTCTAGCGTTTCTACGTCTTACAGTAACTGCTCGATCAGCAACCGAACCGTCTTGCTCGAATTTGGCGATAATTCGTTGAATTGTTCGCTCCGCTGGACGATTATTTCGGCCGTAAATATATCGGAGCTCGCTAAAAGTTTGACTAATAGAACACGAATTTTTATAATAGATTTTAACAATTGCGACGCGTTCTTGCACAGTGTAGCGCGTCATGGTAACCTGGGGACTATGTCGGAACACAAACATCGAGGAATGATAGCCGTGCCACGTGAAACGTCAGAGTAAGGTGTTGCCAAATTTCGGACATAGCTATTGAGAAACCCTTTACAATCTGATAACTATGTAAAAGGCAGTATTCATATTAAGAATGAAAGTTCATCAAATTTTAAATAATATAACGTTTTTGTCTATATGGGACCCGATGGATACCAGAAAAATGAAGTATTTCAGCTGCCTAAATTGAAAACCAAGTTTTCTTTATCACATTATAAAAACATTTAACATTGATATAATCTTAGTTGCTGAAGATCAGGATCTTGTTCAGCCACAACTAAAAATTCTCATGTTTCCACAAGAAATATGTAGATCAATAAAAAAATCTGACTTCTTAAAAATTGACTTTAGTTAAATGATGACCAATTCTAGTTCCAGCTTCAATTTTCGTGGTGATTACGTCACTTGTCTCACAAGGCATGAATTTCGTGCTGTATCGGTGGTCCCATTTTAAGAAGAGGTTATTTTAAACTTTAGCCTGCTGCTCCATTCCAAAACCTAGTTGATTTGGTCATCAGCTTTACAAAAAAGCTGGGTACTAATATTTTTTTATGAACAGTTTTTTTCCAGGGGATCCAATATCCAATTATGGTGGTACGATTTCACAGTACGCGTTATAACTGCTTGCTTTTATGGACACTTCTATCGATCACAAGACTTTATAACGTTGACTTGTCAGCTTATCACTTTGACATAAGCAAAATCAAGTGATGGTTTTCTCCATTTGAGTTATTAAAAATAGCGTCGAAATAACACCATGCTTTTACAAAGTGTTTCACTTCTTTGAGTTATCTGCTTGCCATTCATATAAATACTCTAATTCAGTTTATTTTCAAATTCATTGTGTATTTGCCACTTTTTCGATGTCTGGAAATAGCAAAGGTGTTGTGGCATTGTTCTGTATTTTGTCATGATACGGATGTGAGTCTAGCAATTTAACAAATTTTTAAATTTACTTAGAATAATAGGTTTATCAATTTTTTTTTATTTTAATAACACTATGAAGATTTTTCAATATTATCCATCACTACATTATTTTTAATATTGTAAGTTCAGTGTAATATCTTTTCCAGGTAGTTATCCATATTAAAGTTTTGACTTTATAAGAACACTAAAGGTTTGATATCTTCTTGGAATAATTTATATCATTGATTGTAATAGTTACAATTTTGAGAACTATATAGGGTAGAATTAAGAACCTGATAAGGTTTTTTGAACATTATTATTAGGAGTGAAGTTGATTGAATGCATTGAAGACTGAGTTTTGTGGCATAAACCTGTAAATTTCGATGACGCGCAATCGTTTCTAGCAACACAGTCCTACAGTGTGTATTTTTCAAATTTATTCCATAATGCGAAAGAAATTAATCACTCACTAATCCCAGTGTTGAAGTAGGCGTGTTATAGATTGTTAATAAGCGCAAATTATGAAGACACAAGCAACGAAGTAACTGATACATAATAATATTCAAGGGAATGTGGACCATGTTTCTATACCATGTTTCAGGTACATTTAAGTTCATTGAATCCATGTTACTTTCCTCCGAATTTTATGACTCTTGATATCTTTTGTTATTATTTTACATTAGAGGAAAGGCACCTAATTTCGGATAGTTTTTTTTTTCATCTATTTTTTGAAAACCAACCTATATTTTATTTTGGTATTTCAGGTTATGATTCAATGGGGTATAATAAACAATATATAGTAAAATCATTTTTATTTTAACATGTAATTTCGGACAACCTGGTTCTTAATTTCGGATACAAAAATATATTGCCCACAAACGGAAAAAATATTCCAAACAAACGTCCCGGATATATCCTTTGCGCTCGCCACTATTAGCACATTCCTCGTGCACCCATTTGGGAAATTTCCCACATCTGATCCATTGTTCTCATCTGACGTTCTCCGAAAATAGACCATTACAAAACATCCACATCACTTGCGTCCATATCGGAATCATCATCAAATACAGGATCCTCGTCGGAATCGTTGCATGAATCGTCGACCCAAGTTTTTTTTTTCGTTATTTTAAAGCATTTTAATCGTTGCTTTAGCTTTGTTCTTCGATTCAGACTGGCTTAAATCACTTTTCACACTTTTTTATCCTTTATCGACTCATTTCTATCCGTTTCTTTTAAGCTAGTTTCAAGGTCATCCTTGAAAGGGGTGCTATTTGTTTTAATAGTGATGACATAACTTGCCCCTCGCGGGGCAAAACGAATAATGGTGGAACAAATCCCCCATAGTCCAGTTAAATAGCCGAAACTGGGACAAAAGTGATAACATAGCCACAAAGTTATTTCCGCTGGCGTAATGGTGTAATAAAGGATTGCGAATATTGTTGTATGAATTTGGTTTTCCGGAAACCAGCCGTTTTTTTGTAAAACAGCGAAAAACCCAAAAAACCTGTATTTCGCTGAAACGGCTGAGGATATTTGGAATTTTTTACACGTAAATTTTTCTAACCTTTGCCGCCGCACCGTCCACAATTCCTCGAAAAGGGAGGGGGAGGATGAGGGGGGGTTGTTAGACACGTGTAATCTGATCGAAACGATAAGTACATTCACATGGGGAGAATCCATTGTGCTTAGAGCACAGAACTTCCGCTGCTCCTCGTTTCATGTTCCATTAATCTATACAATTATTTTTTACAATGCTATACCTGGATCCACAAAATTGCTATCATATGATAAATTTGAAAGACGTATAAAGAAATTTATTTTGAATACATAGAAGTATATAAATTAGTTGATAAAATTTATATCACCTCACACAAAAATATTTCCAATATAGCATTCATATATATGTTATATACATCATATTTTTTATGCACCTACATTTTTAAACTTGTAACCTATCAAATGTATTTACATTTTTTGTATTGTTTTTTAGTTTTTCTTTTTTTTTTAGGGAGGGGGGGTTAAGTGGCATAGTAGCATTATGCTAAACTTCACCACCTAAATAAAGACGATTTATTATCATTATTATATGGGCAAAAATGGAGTACAAATTAAGTGGCGTCGGGAATGCTAAGTAGCCAATCGCCAAGCTATAAATTTTAGTCGCCCTTTGAAGTTGTCAAATCGACACGCCTGGTAGCCCTGTCGTCCATGCGTTGACAACCCAGACGATCTCTTACTACATGGTGGGGGTTATTCAGTAATAGTCCGGTTGAATTTTGAACCCTGAGCTCGCTTGTCAGTTTGGCGTTCACCGACTTTTCCGAATGAACTAATTTAGGAAGTTTATGCGTTGCTTGTCAAATGACTGGATAAGTGAGGTAAGTGTGTGTAGATTTTAGAATTGAAGTTAAATATTTTTTTATTGGAGAAAAGAAATTATGGACAAACCATTAATGGGAAGATGCGTCAAGTTTGTGTATTTTCGATTTTGATAGGATGACAATTTTTTTATTATTATGTTTCTGTTCAATAAATTCTACTCTGAAATGTACCCACACATACTTATAGTCCTTCCATTATCAATAATTGGAAACGCAAAAAATCCCTGAGCTGCACAAAAAAAGGAGTGAAGTTCTGTGCAGATAAGTTCTACAGCACAACGTCAAGCTAACGTGAACAGATCCATTGAGACTAGAACTTGACAAATGAGCAATATTATTGGTTTCCACAGCGAGTGTGCAGAGAAGACATAGTCAAATGCTCATCATAATCGGCCATTGTCTATTCTTTACATATTAGCGTTGGCGTATGTTGGCCTAACGTATATACGCGGCTCCAGAACTGCTAAATCTCTTATCATGGTCGTAGATCAATAACTACCGGTGATCAAACTGATTTGCGAGGATGATTATGAACATAATGTGGAGCTTCGAAGACGAGTCTTTTGATGACGCATTGGGCTTCTACATCCTGTAATGTATTCTTATCGTTGCCACTCATTTATATACACGTTCACACCTTTTTTGCAGCTCTAGGTTTTTTGTCATTGTTCCAATTCTAAATGAAAATACTATACCTCACTTATCCAGTCAATCGGTAAGTGGCTGAAGAGAAATTATTCCATCTTGAACTCGACTTAAACGCATAAATTTCAAAAATTCATTAATATGCATACTCGGTGAACGCCAAAACTACAAACTGAGAGTGAGACACTGAGGACGTCCAAATATTAAAAGAGGATCGTCCGCGTCAACGGTGCGACAGCTGGTGATGTGTACGCCGTCCTGGACCCCGCATCCCGCAAGCCCCTCGCCAACAAGCAATCTGCAAGCTGTAGCGCGAAAACTAAGCAATTCAGCAAAAAAAAATGCAAAGACCTTTCTGATGGCCTGAAACTTAGAAAAATTTACGTGTAAAAAAATTCTAGATATCCCCAGCCGTTTCAGCGAAAAAGAGGTTTTTTGGGTTTTTCGCTGTTTTACAAAAAACGGCTGGTTTCCGGAAAACCAAATTCATACAATATTCGCAATCCTTAATTACACCATTACACCAGCGGAAATAACTTTGTGTCTATGTTATCACTTTTGTCTGAGTTTCGGCTATTTAACTGAACTACCTGCGGCATTCATGCAGAACACAACGGTAACTAACGCACCTCTTTCAGCAGCAGTTATGGCGCAAAAAACTTGCTTTTTCCCTTTTAGAGAAATAACTAGGATGTTTTGATTGCACCGTTGTTATGCCGGTTTCGTCATCATAAATTCTTAATGGGTTTAACTTCATTTTTTCCAAGGCCGGCTCAAGTAAATCGAGAAAACGATTAACATTTTCTTGTGTAAAGCCCTCTATACTAGCTTTCGATAGACCTTGAAGTGTGCGTAATGTTAAATTTGAGCGGCGGCTTAGAAAGCTCTTTAACCATTTTTCTCCTGCGAGGCTTTTTTCTTGGAAAAATGTATGTGAAACTCTATTTCGTAGTGGTTTTCAAGCCTTCTTATATCAAATGTAGTTGAACCAAAGAATCGTCGATCCATATCTAAGCAGGAATTAAGTAAGGATTCCTCTAACTCTAGTGGCAATGCAGGTTTTCTCCCAGGTGGAGCTGGTGAACTGGGATGTTTGACGTAGTCTTCTAAAGTTGACTTTGGAACGTTATACGTACGTGAAGCTTTTAAATGGCCCATTTCCATTGTTTGTTTCTTACTTCTTCCGAATATTTCTAAAAATAAGAATATTAGTGTAAATTTCATTAAGATTAGTGTCCCAATTTCGGATATCCGAATTTGAGCTTCGTGTTCTATCCGAAGTTGGGCAAAGAACACTTTTTAGGTTAGATGAAACAAAATAACATAACATACCATCAAATTTACATATGTGTCAAAAACTAGGATATCTCACCTATCTTTTCATATATTTACACTTTGGTTTTCACAATAATCAAACTAAAAAAAAAAATTCTAATGAAGAGAGCCGTAAAAAAAACTTGCCTAACGTGAAATCGTGTAAAGCGTTGCTATTCTTCTCCTAGCGGAAATATGAAACCAGAAATTGAACGGAAAGGTTTCTACAAGGGCCTTCCACAAATGTGCATAACTTCTGACATTCGCCCAAAGATTAGGTGCCTTTCCTCTATTGTCCACCTCAATTTCTTACATTATGTTTTGTTTTGTTTTGTCCATTACAGTTGCAGGTCTAATGTGAATATTACTTTTGCGTTAACGAAGATAAAGTATTTTGGTTTACCTATCACTTACGTTATGCCTCCACACAATTTATTGGCTTTTAATTACCCTTTCCGATTTTTTATGACTTCAACTTCATGTAATGGACAATTTCTTCAATCACGATTGAAGTTTCCACTTAAGCAAGCTTTAAAGCTCCAGATTCAGCTAAAAATGGAGGAATAGGGTTAGTCATGTTTGAACAATTATTCGGACAATACTTGAATACATTCGGCATTGATTAGATGGAACTTTTTTTTTTACTTGAACGACTTTGTAAAATGTTTTTTGTAGTCGCCTTGTCCTGACAAACGAAGAATTCAATATCTTATAAAAATAATTGACCCAAATCCAAAATTTTACAGTAAAATGCTGTTCTTATCTTATTGATATACGTCATAATTTGCATTTTGTTTGTTACTCCTGCCTAAGGGGTGCTTTGTATTATTTCTTGTCTTACACCTCTTTATGTCAATATAGTTATATTCTGATGTTAATTTACTCCCTTCAATGCTTTTCATATCTTTATGAATCATGCAATACTCTAGTTGACATGATTTATTCTATTTTAATTAAACACTAGTGCGGGCAACATCTTCGCATCTCATGGAAAACATATTTTGATTCTTAAAAATAGCCGGTTTCAAAGAATCTGCATATTGCCAAGCCAATGGTTCTCCGCATCACTTCGACTGGAGCGCAAAAAATTTTTTTGCTGAAATTTGTGTAAAAAAAGTGTTTAAAAGAGGTTTGACGCAAATTTAGGCGTAGCTACATGCAGATTCGTTAAAAGTGCCCTTTTTGAATGATATTATGCAAAAAAATCGAATCAGAATATTTATCCCATCAGATGCGACGATTTTGCTCGGACTATAATACTAAAATAAACACAATCAGGGATAATGACAGAAACACTTACAAGGCTAGCATTTGTATCCTAGAGTAGGTATTTTTATACTCTGAACTTTTTCACTGCCTCAAAGTGAAAATTCAACCAAAAGAAGCAAACCTTTATTTCAATGTTTTAGAATTTTAATATGGATTTAGCAGACAGAATTAGTTCAACAATATTCAGATATGCTGCACTGTCAAAGACATATCAATCCTTTTATGAGGACTGACATTTGGTATTATGAGTACCTTTGTGATTTAGTTTATTATGAGGAATTGAATTAAATTAAGAAACCGATCTTAATTTTTATGTATATTATATGAGTGAAATAATTGTTGTCTTAGCTGTGCAGCATAAACTAATTTTCATGTCGTCGTTGAGATGCAGAATTCATATAAAATTAATCTTTCAGTGTGCATGAGATTTCACAAGTAGTCAATCGCCACCCTTTCTATATAAAGTAACTGCTTTCAATAAAAGGATTGATCTGTATGTGTTTTTTCGGATGAGCATATCCGAAACAGCTAGTATATCTAGTTAAACTACTTGAGAGAAAGGAAAAATGGGCGCCGGCTGATTCGAACCCCCTTCTCGTCCATACCGTGGAGTCGACTGGAGGAGATGTATGGCCAATGGGAAATATACAGTAGCAGTGTTTTTGGACTTCAAAAGGGCGTTTGACACTACTGATAGGAATAAATTACTTACAAAAGTGCAACAGTACGGATTTGAAGGATCTGTATGCAACATTCTACAAAGCTATTTCATTCTCTGAAGTCAAAAACCATAATTGGTTCTACAATATCAAGCTCAAACAATATTTGTTTGTATACCACAAGATAGTGAACTAGGTCCACTACTATTTATTTTATACATTAATGACATTTGTAATATTTTATATAGATGTAAAATTCAGATACTTGCAGATACATTAATATTCCTACATATCAGATGAAAATATAGACACTACTTTAAAAATGATAAATTCTGACTGGTGGTGTAGACTAATTGGTTAGTTCGGCTCCAAGGAATGCACCTGTGCCCATTTTTCCTCTCTCTCAAGTTATTGGTTACTAAACATACTCGCTGTTGCGGATGCGTTCATCCAAAAAATCTCATACAGGTTACTGTCCTCGCACCGTGGTACCGTGGTAGAGTGACCACGACACGGCGTGGATCAACTAGAAAGCGATTTGAGGTATCTTACCAATACGGTTTGTTTCACATGGACGACTCCAGATATGGCATTAAGCAGCTTGAAAGGACAAAGGATCAGCTGCGTGGGTAGAATTTAATTTGCCTCTAACAGTTGATCCTGA